TTACAGCTGTCAATATTTTTCTCTTTGTCTTTGACTTTTGAAAATGTGATTATAATGTGTTTTGGTGTGAGTCTTTTTGAATTAACCCTTTTAGGTATCTGCTAAGCATCTTGGACCTGAATTTCTATTTCCTTCCTTACATTTAGGATGTTTTCTGATATTTCTTTAAATATGTTCTCCAGTCCTTCTCTCTTGTCCTTCTGGTACTCTGAAAATTTGTATAAAGTTTTACCTGGTGTACCCATATATCACTTCGGCTGTTTTTACTTTTCATTCATTTACTTATTAGTGGATGATTTTCAATGACCTGTCTTCAATATGCTTTATCTTCTGTTGAAAGTCTCTGCTGATTTATTGATTTCAGTTATGTTCTCAGCTTGATGGTTTTGGTTTAGTCCTCCTTCATATTTTCTAACTCTTGGTTGAAGTTAATAGTTTTTTTTTTAATGTGTTACCTATGAGCATCTTTATGGCTGTCTTTTAAAATTCAGTCAGGCAAATTGGATATCTCTATTTCATTAGGGTGCGCTTCTAGAGATTTACCTTTTTTTAAATTTGGAACACAGTATGGTTTCTTCTTTTCCCTTGACTCACTCAGTTGGTTTCTGTGCATTAAAGAACCAGCTTCCATCCTAGTTTTGTTAGACAGGTCTCATGTAGGATGTATTCCTTCCCTGTAAATGTGGCCATAGATTCAAGGTGCCTCTAACCCTTCTATTCTTTTCCAGCTTGCTTTGTTCTTATTTACTGATTCCCAAGAAATTTGTGTCCAGTTGTACTATTGTCTTGAAAAAGTGAGATGGTGGCCATTACCTTGAGAGCAAGCTGCAGAGTTTAGTAGTTTATTAGCTACATTTCTTTCAGAGCTGAGAGCTAGAGTTTGTCTCCCACTTGTCTTGCCTATCCCAAGGAAAGGTTCTGAGGCAGATGCATATGATCAGACTGTCCACTTCAAATCTGGGGAGGTAGCTGCTGTATACTTTCAAGTTTGAAAGTCATCTTGTTCTTGTGGTCTAGGATTCTAAAGGAGTACAGAACTCCATCAGTTCCCAGAGTTTGGTGATTTAGGAACCAGCCTCTTCAGTGAAGGCTGTAAAAGTTGGGGTGCTTAATACATATAGGAGCTATTTCCAAGAAAGTCAGTGGTTCCAGTAGGTGTTTGCTCAGTGAGATTTACTGCTGGAGCAATCCAGGGAAGAAAGTGCACAGAGGACCCACTGTCCTGTTGAGCAAGCACCTGACTTATACCATCCTACAGGAAGCCTTCTGGTCTGAAATTACCCTAATGAAAGAATGCAAGGGTTTGTCTTCAGAGCATGCCAGTAGAGGGGGGTGTAGGGCATGCTGTCCCTTCTCTTCTGACTGGCAGAGCCCTTCAGCTTTTTATATGGAAAGGTTTCAAGTCTGGGATTATCATGGGAGCAATGGGAAAGAGAAAAGGAGTCATCTTAGAAGGCCCTTACAGAGGAGCCTCTGCTCAGCATTTGCACTGAAGAAAGCCAGGTAGAAAGGCTCAGGGTGTGCCCGTTTTCCCTTGAAGATGTGGAGAGGTCTCCTGCTGTCTCATTGAGAATGTATAGAAATTTATGTAGGAGACAAACTAGGGAAGAAAGCATAGGAGTGGATTGTAGGGGTTGCTGTTCCTCCCATTTTTGCTGGCAGAATCTCCAACCTCTTACCTTATAGAGCTTATAGGGCTAGATCTGTCTCCGAGAGGAGGAAGGGCAGGGTATGCCATTTTTCCTATTTTCAAGTAGTTTATTCATTATCTACTATGTGGGCTCCCAGATACTGACTTCTTAGAGGCCAGAACCACAGGGAGCTCCAGAGTAAGGTTGGGAGCTAGAAAGACCGTGCTGGTCCCTGATCCTAACATTAAAGCTGCTGAAGTATATGCATGATTCAAACCCTCCCTGTGTTCTTTGAGGAAATCCTCTGATGCCCTGTCCCTGATCTTCCTCAGGGACATTGAAGAACTCGGCCTTTTGGCAGGAATGGTAGAAACTGGCTGCTGTACATGTGGTATAAGGCCCTCATTCCTCGGAAGGAAGCTGGGATTTGAGGTGTCCTTCCTGATGTTAAGGCACAGTACTCAGCATGAGTTTAGTGTGCTAGCGTGTGTAGGAGTCTTTCAACTGGATTTGGCTTTCTTCTGAAGAGAATGGATACATGTAGGTATTTGCTCAGTGAGTCTGCAGGAAGGACACAGAAGCTAGACATGGCCATGATGCTGAAGTCATCTCTAGATCTGAGTATTTTCTGAAGCCAGAACAGCAGATTTTTAGAGTGCTCTATATGGAATGAGAAAGAGGAACCAAGATTAATACCAAGATTTTGGCTTAAGGAATGAGAATAATGGAGTTGCTAATCACTGAGTAAGAATTACAAGGAGGAAGAGCATGTGTTTGGATGTGCTAAGTTTGAGGCACTGTGAATGCCCCTTTGAGATGTTAAAGACGCAGGAGCTCAAGGGCTGTCGGTTGAGAACTTTTCATTCCCAAATGTGCCATGCTGTTTTATGTTTCTTTGTCTTTAGACATCCTAACTCTCTGCCTAGAAATCTTGCTCTCTCTCCATTTCAGATGTTACTAAGAACAGTTGGTCACCCTTTCCTCTGTGTGCTGGTCTCTCTATACTTACTTCTTTATGTGTAATACAGATATTGTTACTACACATGTTTATTGAAGTAGCTGTGATATATTCTGGGCATTGTTGTAGTTACTGGGGATAAAATAAACATGGCAAAATTGTGGTCACTATGTTGGGAGATGCATACAATAAAGAAGTGAACAAATACTTAGGTAGTGATAAGTGCCATAAATGATAAGTAGTCAGCAGAGTGTTCAGCAAGGATTATGTTCTGAGTATTACTCTAGAGGGTTTACTCAGACACTGTTTCTACTGAGGTAGTAATTGAGAGAGAACTGAGTGAGGAGCAAGAGTGCAGGTAAAGAAAAGAGCTAATGCCAAGGCTTCAAGACAAAAGGAGGTTGCTGTGTGTGCAGTTAGGAGGCAGAGTGGCTCAGGGAAGGAACTCATGGTAGGTGAGGGGCTAGAGACAAGTGCAGGGACCCACCTTGGGGAGCACCTTGCAGTGCTTGCTGCATGTGGATTTGGTTTTGCTCTGAGGATGCTGGGAAGTCACAGGAAGGTTCTGGGTGAGTGTTAGCATTGTATCTAGATGTCCCCTCAGTGCCTCATGCACTGATAGGTGAGGCTTTTCAGAGATGGCTGTATCCAGGGTGTGTAAATGTGGATTAAGGGTTTATGGAACCAAATTAGTCCACTGACTTGGCATAGTTTTAGGAGTAAATAATGGGAAGACCTAACCTGGGTGTGGTACAGCCGGGATGGTAAAGAAAGAGAGGCTTTGCTGATGCTCCTGCTGCTGCTGTTGCTGGCTGCTGTGCTTCCTGCTTTGCTACCTTCTACCTGCTTGCATGGACAGTTTCTCCTCTGCCATGCTGCCCTGCCTTGGAGCCTGTCAGCTGTGGGTTGCAACATCTTCAGACTGTTCTGTTAATGGTTAGGTGTTAGTATTTTGTGTCAGTAATGAGAAAAGTAACTTAGCAAGGATTGCTAGGATTTGGGTTTTGAACTAACTCTTGTAATGTGGCATAAATAGTGGTAGAAACAAGGAGACTATTGCAGTAGCTTCGTAAAAGATAAATGATGACAGTGGAAGTGGTGAAAAGTAGATAAAAGTAGATTGTATAAAGAACAAGAAGAAAGATGAAACAGGATATAACTTAGATTTTTTGTTTTGGACAGCCCATCTGCGAGCCCTACTTACTAGTTTACCAGCTTCCCTTCATCTGTAGAATATGGAATAGTAGTGTTTTTACCTCGTTTGAAGTATCCTGCCTCTACAGCCATACCCTGTCCCCCTCTCCTTTCCTGTTTAAGCATCAGCCAGACCGATGACTCTGGGTTCCCAGAACTCTTCGTTGCCTTACCTAAATGTATGCATTCTTCAACTTTTGGTTTTTTTGGTACCAAGGATCGAACTCATGACTGCGTGCTTACAAAGCAGGCGCTTATGCCCCTGAGCTAAATCCCTAGCCCCACATTCTTCAACTTTTATCCATCCAAAAACATTACCACCTCAAAGATCTCTCATCCCTATGCCAACTATTACAAGTCTGGATTTTCCTCTATGGCATCTATGATAACTTTTTACAATTAATTAAGCATACAGATACTATTTCCTTCAGTGGATTGTAATGTGGATTGTTTCTATTTCCTTCAGTGGATTTTAAGTTTGGTAGAGGAAGGGGGAATTCCTTTGCTGCTGCTGCTTTGTTCAGAGCCTAACCCAGTGCCTGGCACACAGAATTTGTTCAGTGCTTCTCTAAGGCAGTGGATTCAGGAGACCTAGTGATAAAATCACCTTAGGGACAGGGAGACATTAAAGTAGTCCTAAATGCTGTCCGGTGTTAAAGGGAGCAGTAAAGTTGAACATTCCCTTTTTCAAATGTTAGAGACCTAATAGCAACCATTTATTTTAAAAACTAATATTACATTTGAGTGTCAGGAAAACTTAAGTTATTTAAAATCTGAGCTATGTAAGTACCACAAGGATAGAAAGCCTTTCTGTTTTACATATAGTGTGTTTGTTAACTTTTAATCATGTCATTTCTGGGACACAATACCTGATACTGACAATTCAAAGGAGGAATGCTTTATTTTAGCTCACAGTTTGTGAAGGTTTCAACCTAAATTCAGCTGGCTCCAAGGCAGGTTGGCATGGCAGAGGGGCATGGCAGAGGACAGCTGCTCACTGAATGGCCACAGGGAAGCAGAGAGTAAAGGGAGGAAGAGAGAAAGGCAATAAACCCTTCCAGGCCACCCTCTCAGTGTCCTGCCTCTTTCAGCCGGTCAGCTGTGATGTCTTGATCATCCAGTCACTGCCCAAAAGCCCCACATATGGTCATACAATGCTTTGGGGGATATTTAAATCTAAAGCATAACACTAACATTAGCTTACTCTTTTTCTCAAGGTTAATCTGAAGCGACCATGTCCTTTCTGGGCAGAAGATGGCCATTGTTCAATAAAAGACTGCCATGTGGAGCCCTGCCCAGAGGTATAATAAGCAAAGAGGAAAAAACTTACTTTCTCTTGTACTTTTAGATAAGCATATCCTTTGTATTTTAGGCTAATGTCAGTGAATTCGGACTTGTCATTAAATTGGTACATTCTCTGCCCTCTTCTTTATAGGTCAGTGGCTGATTCTATACTTGTCATCAAAATGGGTTTAGAGATACTTTTCTGTCCCTCGGTGTTGGTGATTGGATGTGGAAGTATTGTCCAATTCTATAATGGAAAGAAGATCAGAGGCCTATTCTAGTATTAGGTCTGCACCTAGCTTTTATTTCATGCTTTATGGAATCTGCATCCTATTTCATAGGTTTAAAAACATGCAAAACATTAAAAAAAACATGCAAAACATATAAAGACCAAAAATGATCCTTGACCCTAACCTTCAAATTTAGAGTAGACATTTCATTGGCTAAAGGGTAAATTTGCAGGCTTGAAATTGGGTTTTCATTTTTTTTTTAAAAGGGTACGCTGTACTTATTATCAAGAGGATGCTATATATTAGACTTCCAAACTTTTTTATTTTTTCAGTGGTGCTGGGAATTGAACCAGAAAATTAACATTGATATATTTACTAATAGCTGTAGAGCCCTTAATCAAATATGCTTGTGTTTTATAGTGGGGAAAAAAAAAGGTTTCTGGTCTAGAATCCAATCAGAATTATATTTTGCATTTGTTTTCATGTCTCTTTAGTGTCTTTTCTTTTAGGACTGGTCCTTAGTATTCTCTTTTCCTCCTCTCCTGCAATAAAGGGGATCAAGCCAAAGGCCTTGTACTTCATAAACGCTAGTCACAGCATTACCACTGAGCTACAGCTGCATTCCCCTTTTGCCCATTTTTAAGCTGAGTTGTTCTTTACTGCTGAATTTAAGAGTTCATTATTTGGCTTTGACACATAGTATACATTTCTAAACTGAGTTCATACTTTTTTTTAAAGGGAGGCAGTGAAACACATGTGTTTGAAGCTAGAGACTACTGAGCCACATCCCCAGCCTTTTTAATTTTGAGATGGGTATTGCTTAGCTGCCCAGACCGGCCTCAAACTTTTGATCCTCTTTCAGCCTCCCCAGAAACTAATATTACAGACATGCATCACCTGAAAAATGAGTTTTTAAAGTTAACAGTAAGAATAAATGAAAGTGTTTATAAAAGAACTCTCAGCATACAAAATAAAACACATATATATTCAAATATCCTCTTTAATTGCCTTCTGATCCCATTCCCTTTCCTTCTCCCAGAGATAAAAACTGTCCCTTCTTACTGATTCTTTAAATAGTGTGAGAATTTTTATACCTATCTCTCAAAATTTATTAGGCATTTCATGTTTTACCCAAACTTGGGATACAATTTGCTTTCTTTCTTTTTTTTTTTTTTTTTGTTTGTTTGTTTATTTGTTTGTTTTTGGTCTTTTTCCTTTTTTATCGGTACCGGGGATCGAACTCACGACTGCCTGCTTGCAAGGCAGGCGCTTATGCCACTGAGCTAAATCCCCAGCCCCACAATTTGCTTTCTATAATTTCAAATCTAATTTAATTATGAGAATCACTTTATAATTTACATACTGCTTCATATAATTTGTATTAGTATCAATTACCAGATTTATTCTATGCTTGATTTTAGTTGTTTTACATTTGATTTTATTACTTTTAATAACACTTTTTGAGAGTTCGATACATTAGTCACGACAGTCACCAGTGGTACCCTAGTATTTCTTCATAACCTGTAGCTAATATTTGCTTAAATCATTATGTTCTACATCAAACCTTTTAAAAAGCTACTAATGAGAACCTGGCATGGTAATATACTCCTATAGTTTCAGTACTTGGGTAGGCTGAGACAGGAGAATTGCAAGTTGGAGCCTAGTCTGGGCAATTTAGTGACTTACCAAGGCCTTGCCTCAAAACATTAACGGCTGACTTGTAGCTTAGTATAAAACATCCAAACTTGTATTGGGTGAACACCATGTATATAGACTAACGTACAGTAGGCAGGAGCTACTTTTGGTTAAGATTTGCTCCAGATTGTAAAGTGGGGTCTTACAATTGTCTAGATTTGACTTGAGTGTTGTCATTTTCTATCCTGTCCAGATGTGTTAGAAAAAAAAATACCAAAATGGTAAAATATTGGCAGCAGGTGACATTTTATCCATATAGTCTTTTTATGGATTAGGAAAAAAAAAACCCTTCATCATCATCATTTTCCTAACAAGAAAATATTCTCCATATTTTGTTAAAACTTTTGAAATTGAGTAATTTTTAATAGGTAATTTGCTGCTGTTAATAGTCAGTAGATTAAGAGGTTGTGAAAGAGCCCTGGATTGATTAAAATAAAAAATCTGGGATCGTCTTCTTTTAGGTATGATTTTTGTTTAAAGTTCTTTTTGATAAGCCAGTTGAAATAATTGATAGGTTCATTTAGTAAAGCCTAACACCAATGAATGGTTTTCTGGGGAAGAATGTTGGATCTAATATAGTTCTTCCATTGGTAAACCCTAGAATGCTTAGATTGATAAATCCTAAATTTCTAGTCTATAGGCCAGAAATATGATTCTTGCCTCCAATAATCCAAAATTACCAAGTGTCATCTTAGAACAAAAAATTAAAATCCAACGTAATATATTTTAACTAATTTTGAACTTTTAAAAGCTGCTTTTTCTTTGGTAAACTTTATGGAAAAATGATGATCACTTCTTTTACCCAAAAATCTATATAAACTATTAAAAAATACTGCATTGAGAGTTATTAGAGATAATTTCGACTCTACATATGTCATTCAGTTTTCTGTACTTTAATTTACAAGTTTATAAATTGGGATAACTTTTTTAATTTAAAAGGTATTTGAATATATATTTGTACCTCATAGAATATTCTTTGTGTCATTTTTTAAATTTTTACTGTTTTTCTTTTTAAGAGTAAAATTCCAGTTGGAATAAAAGCTGGGCATTCTAATAAGGTGAGTCACTTTTGTTCCTTGAATATTTCTGCTTTACACAGTTTAACTTACCCATTTATGATGCTTAACACTGGCTGCAGAGACTGTAATATAGCTAGTTGAGAATGGAGACATTTGCCCTAGGATTTCAAATCCCTAATTCTTGAGTAAGCAGAGAGGTTGTGCATTCCAACTTCTTTATTATTGCACCGTTTTGGACCCTCTAGCACTCTTAATATGCAACTGTAGTTTTTTATGACCTATTCAACAGATGTTTTATCATAGAAATGGTGAACCTGTGGCACATATTATTGTGTTTTTCTCTTAAGGCAAAAAATGTCACTGTGTGAGTTGTTTTTTCCAAACTCACATCTCGATATTCAGGTTTAATTGTAGTGTTGGCACTTTGTGAGAAATAAGTAGATTTTAGTTGCAGTTTGACAGTTTCTAAAAGGTTCACCATCACTATTTTATCACACAGTTTTACATCAAATATTTTATTATATTTATTTTTCTGTTTCAGTCTGCCTGTTAGATTTAGGATTATATTGTATAGAGAAAATAATTATCAAAATATTTTAGGCAAAGTACTTTCCAAGTATTCCTTCCTCAAATACTGCCTTTTTCTCCTTAGGAACACATCATTGTTTTTTGTTTTGTTTTGGCCTTGCATGTTTGTAGGTATCAGTTTACTTCATTTTTCACTGTTGTGTATACATATAAAGGTCTTCAGAGAAAGATCACCCTTTTTCTACCTTCCTTTTGTGTATCTTGTGCATTTTCTAGCTCTTTCATCTGCGTTTGTTTATGCTCACTCTCACTTTTGTTTGTTTGGTGTTGGCTTTTTTGTTCAGTAGAAAGGTAGATGCCATCCCCTGAAGGTCTTCTCAACCCCATTCTGTTTCCTCCCTCCCCAGAGCGAGGCATTTTTCTGAAGTACCCTTCCATGATTTTTGCTCTCATTCCATATATAGCTATGTGTTAATCTGCTTTTATTGCACTCATATTCACAGGTAACATGTATACTATCTTTATATAGAATTGAAGAAAGTTAAATCATATGTCATTTTTTTTGTTTTTTTAGTCTTAATGTTTTTGAACTTTTTTCTCTGTTGATATATATGAATTTTGTTCATTCATAACTGTTTAGTAGTCAGTGTGAGGCTAACAGAGTAGCCATTTCTTTGTTCATGGACATTTCACTTGTGTCCAGTGTTTGTTGATACTGTGATTCCCTAGCATTTTTGCCCTTTGTCTCATTGTGGACATATGTTACCATTTCTCTGCCTCTGTATTAAGAAATAGGATTATAACTGGTCATACTTTTTCTGATTGTTACCTTCAAATGTGGCCACCTAATAGAGTTTAAGGCATTGTGTATTTTTTATAACTCTAGGTATATACTGTCAAACATCTTTCCTGAGTTTGCTTAGTTTGTGTCATCAACAGTACACTGATGCTGTTAAAGTGTTAATGTCTTTGCTAATTTGGTAGGTAGAAATTTGTACCCTTTTTTATTCCTATTATATGTGTTGCAGATTTTGATAATAGAATGTATCTGTATTTAGTGTATATCATCATTGACAGATTGTTTGCCAGTGGCAGCTGAGAAAAAGAGAACAATAATTATTACTAAACTTATCATGAACTTCCTTGCAGTATTCAAAAGTGGCAAATAATACCAAAGAATTGGAAGACTGTGAGCAAGCTAATAAGCTGGGAGCAGTTAACAGCACATTGAGGCAAGTTTTATTTTAGTATTAAGAAGCCACTCTTACTTAGTTTATTTAATTAATCTTTTTCTCGTGATTTTAATAAAATATTTCTGCTACCCATTAAATTTTCAACTATTTAAAGGAAGGAAAAAGTTACTCTTATCCTAAACCTCATAACAATTTTACCTCTTCTCGAATGATTTACCCTTAGAGTTCTGGAATTTATCATCAGTAGCAAATCTATCCAAAAGCAGAAATTTAGAAGATTACTCAGCAGGGTCTCTGGATCCATTCTTATCATCATTATGGAGAAAAGAGACTTGAACTTCTAAATCTTATATATATAGCAAAGCAATCTGTAAGTTATCTTTCGAATGATAAACTTGCTGCTAATTTAAGTTTCATGGATTTTTTTTTTTCTTGCTGACTTTTCTGCTCTACCAGAACATGATAGAAGCAGTAGGAGAAACAGTCCTATTACCTAGACACACACACATCCAAACCAAACTTCAAACCAACAAATAAGCAGAACAACACATGCAGAACTAGCATATACATCCTTGTGGAAGTAGTTATAGTGGGGGCAATTATGAATACTTCCTAATGCTAGGAGAGTTGTAAAAAATATTCTTGGTGCACAGTTTTCCTTCTCAGCTTCTGTTTAAGACAGTTTGGGGTAGTCTAGATTGAGTTCTACCTCTGCATCACCACAGGCAGTGCTAAGGCAAAACTCAGCGGCAAGGCTCAGTCCATACGTGGTACTTGTTATTGTTGCTATACCTGGGAACAAGGGCACACATACAGTTAGACTGGTCCTCTGAACCTCTGTCTGCCTTGACTGAGGAATGACCTAGATAGTGGCCCCAGATTAAGGGAGACATGACTAGAAAGTGTCAGTGCTGCAGCGAGTGTTCTTAATGTACCCAAGCAGGGCAGAGGTTGTGTGCTGTTGATTAGGGTGAGTAGCACCTGTCAGTGCTGCTGTCTCTAGTCTGTCATGGTCCAAACCTCTGGTAACCACAGATTGATGGTGTGGCATTAGTGCAGCCTCTCATGCAGGCCCTCCTATGGCCTGTACCACCAATACTGGCCTGGCTTCTCTATCTGCCTCTGGCTCTTTTGATTCTTTAGCTATGCAGCAGCTTAGTCTTTCTAGCTCATGACTCCAGTGGCTTCCAGGACTGCCAAGGCTACAAGACCCTGGCTGCAAGTAAGGGTAATAGCTGGGCTGGACACTGAGTTGCTGCTTTTCCAGGCTGTTGCTTCTCCAGGAGGGTTTTTTAAATCTCAAGCCCGCCAAACCTGTGCAGACAGAAGTGCCTGGGCCCTGAGTAGTGGCCTCACTCTTAACTGTCAGCATTTCTGGCTTTCACCTGATCTGTGGCTTGCTCCAGTTACATTCCAGTGATTGGTCCTCTCATGTCCTATGTAGGCATATACCTGTAGGCTTGGGTGAACACTCCATAGTGGATTGTGAGTATAGTTTGTTTCCAGTACGGAGCTCTATGTAGTGAACAAGGAAGGCTAGCAACATGATGCTTCTATTTTTGATGCTGCCCTCATGCATTTAAGATAGAAGATCTGAATATGGATAACTGAATGTAGGTCTCAGTTTATTTAAATAAATGTAGTTGTTCCTTAGCAGTTCAGGTCAGAAATCTTTATTATAGATTCTATTAAATTGAGGTATGACCTGCCATGGGGAAGATGACTTTGGTTTAACAGTTTAGCACCACTTTGGATCAAGGGATCAGAGATACACAGTTCTTGGGATTTTAGATCCTATATGTATAAAAGCAATTTTAATTTAAAATATTCTGAAAGTAAATTTCATCCCTATTTTAGGAAAAGTACAATAATTGCCATAACTTCTAAGTCAGTTGAAAAGGCCAACTTAATTTTTTAATTGACTGTGATATGTATTTTGTAAGTTAATTTTTAGTTAAAAATTCAACTGGGACTAATAGCCACTTTAGTGCAGTTAATATAAGTCACTCATAGAAGTTAGTATCTGCTCTTCATATAACTGTTTCTTAATCATTCCTTCATGTAAGCACTAATAATTGTGACATCATCTAATAAAGAAGTGACCTCAAAATATCTGTAAATGTAAAAATTCTCAACTCCAAATTTAATGATTTTTCTTTTTTATTCCTCCTTCCCTTAGTAATCAAAGCAAGGAAGCTTTCATTGACTGGGCAAGATATGATGATTCACAGGATCACTTTTGTGAACTCGATGGTAATAACTATTATAATTAAATTGTTTTAACTTTATCCCTTTTATAAGACATTTAAATCAATGACAGTGTAACCTGTGTTATAGTTTTAACATTAGATTTTGCTAGATAGATTATATTCATAAGGGCATTTGAGAACCTGTGTTCCATGCCTTGTATTAAGTGCCTTAAAAACATTATTTCTCATCTTTGCAAGTACCTTAATAGGTATGTTTTTTTCCATATCTGGGGAACTAATTCTGTAAAAGACTATTATTTCCCTAAATCATACAGTAGCAAGAGGCTGAGCTGGCATTTTATTGCAGACCTGAGGGAGTCCAAAATCTGTGTTCTTTCCAGTACATCCACACCATCTCCTGTGGTTGAGCCACTTGGTTATAGGATCTTGAATACTGTCTTAGTTACTTTTCTCATTGCTAAGACAAAGTACAAGACAACAAAAATTAAGAGAGGAAAGGTGTATTTAGCTCACGTTTGTGGAGATTTCAGTCCATTATCAGTGGGCTCCAAGGAGTGACATCAAGTAGAGAACAGTTCAGAGTGCCCAGAAGGCAGCCAAAAAAAAAGGATTACCACAGCTTTCTATCCCTTATATGTTCTCCAGGCTACTTAGGGTGGGTAGCACTCACCCTTAATCCTACTTCCCTTGATGCTGCTAGCATTGCACCATGAATCAATTCCCAGCGTCACACTGTATCCAACCACTTTTGAAAAAGCCCCACCTGTGACTGCAGGAGGCTTTGCAGGGACATCTAGACCCAAGCCATAACAAACATACAAACATTTTTACACTGGAATTTTCTTGAGGTCTCAACAAACTCACAATGATACCCTCTAATGTTGAGGAGAACTCTGGTTTGACTTCCTCACAGCCCTCTTTCTGAGAGTCGCCTAGAAGGATCCAAATGTGGGACCCTGTCCAGCAGAGTAACTATCCCTTCTCTGAACAGGAGATAATTATTACACTGATTTGGAAATTTTTATCTGTATTTAATAAGAGCCATGAATAGAAAAATATATTTCCAAAGAGCTGTATTGTATAGGCTGGAATCAGACATTTAGCCTCTTCACCTTTACCTTGTTGCTATTAAATTTTTGGTGATGGGACACAATTTGGGGTTCAAGCATGCACAATTGAAAATGGACAACAGAGGATTTTTTTTATACCCTTCAAGGATCTAAACTGATCATCATGCTTTATAAAAGTTTAAAAAGAATTCAGAACTAGAACTGTGCTATCAATCCATAAGATAAGTTACTATGGGCTTCTAAAGGATAGTAAGTTGAATACTGGGAGGTAAAATATTGTTATCACCATTTATACCATGCTACCTAGGGAAATTTTAAAGAAATATAAGCAAGGGTTCTTTGGGTATCTGGGTATACTAATGGCCAGTTAATGAAATATCCCCATTATGATATTTAGAATTGACACAAGTTTTATCAGAGCAAGCCACTGTACTTGTGTGAAGTTGTGTCACTGTTTACTCTGTTATTTGCTCTTTGGTTGTCATTCTAATTATATTTGCATGTTTAACACTATCGTCAACTCTCTCAAGTCCCTCATGTACTTCTTAAATGTTTTTTAAAAATCTGATCATGCTTATGTTTTTAGATTAATTATTTCTATAATTACAAATTATTCATTTTTTTCATAAGAGTGCTACTCAATTGCAAGGGTTACTTGCTATAGGTCAATCAGTGTGCTAAATTTACTTGTCCCCAGTATAGTGTTAGTATTTTTCTTTTTTGTGGTACTGGAGATTGAACCTAGTGCCTTTGTACTGAGCTACATCCCCAGACCCTACTCTCTTTTTTTCATTTGAAATGGTCTTACTAAATTGCTGCGTTGCTCAGGCTCTGGGTTCAAACTTGCAATCCTCCTGCCTCAGCTTTCCACTGTATTGGGATTAAAGTATGCACCACCATACCCAGTTCTATTTTTAATAACATTAATTTCTTAAGTTATAAAAATGGGAGACAGATTCTGTACAAACTTGTATAAAGTCATCCTTTAAGATTTTTAGGATTATATATTTAAAATAATTAGGATGTTTTTCAGTTTTTTTAATTTAACTCTTACCCATATAAAACTATGCTGCTTACTAATTGGATTACCATCATTTCTCAGAATAGTAGTTTTCATGTGTCCTGATGATTTATACTTATAATTTCTTTTACTGTCAGAGTAGCTTTAGGATCATTGTTTAGTTATTTCTGCTATCTAAATTCAGAATGTTGAAATGTAAAGACTATTCACTCTAATTTATTAGAGAAAATACCCATTTGACCCTGTTCCTGCTGTTTTGCTACTGTTATTGTCTTTGAATGGAAGATGATCCCTATGGATGAAATAACAGCCTTTTAAATAATTTAACAGCTTAATATCCACTAAAGTGAGCTGCTGTACCTGTCCTATTGTTTTCATTATCATCTTTGTGCATGGCTTGCTTCTTTCTTTGGCTCATCAGAGAAGACTGCTCTCCTCTTCCAGTACAGAATAGTAGCCATGATCACTTTATGGAGTCTCTGCACTGCTGGTTTCTTTCAAGAATATGATTCTTTGGCCAAGATGATCCAGCATCCTGACAGGCATGAGAGTTTAAACAAACTAGGGGCTCTGGGGAAAAAATTAGAGCATCTTTCACATGCTAAAGAAATAAAGATAATTGAGATGGAAAACAGTTTCATGTTCTTTTTTAGCATCATCCATAAGTTTCAGCAAACATTGAAAAATGATGAAAAGCTCTTGTAAGTAGAAGCTCAAGAAACAAGCATAGGCCACAGCATGTTAATCACTTACCATTCCCAAGAATATTGAAAAGAGCTACATGATCTTAATGTATTTAGAATTTGTTGTGCTCTTGAGATACTTAGTTTGGCAGTGAATACTTTGCTTGTAAATATTAATACTCATTTCACTCATTTCTTCACACAAAGGAAAATGTCTTCAATGTTTTTATTGCAACACGTTTTTCTTAAAAGAAAACAGTCAACTGTGTATAATAAAATGTCTTCCAAGCTGGATATTTGTGCTCCTTGTAGTCTTACATAGTTGTTAAATGGTAACATCAGTTGTTTTATAAAATAAGTTGAACATTGTGAGGTGGCATTTTTAAGATACACATGAGAAAATGAATCTCTTTTTTGAAGTTATTACTTTTGAAAATAAAATCCATGAGTAGGCTTCAAGGGTGCCACAAACCCATAATGTGCAAAATGTTTATGATAGGAAAGTGTTTGCATGATACTGAGGATCACTGGTGTAAGAGGTAATTACAAGATGCAAAGTAAAACCATGGGCATTGCTTTCTCTCTTTCTTTTTTTGGTACTTGAGGAATGTGACTGTTAAGTGCCTTGTTATGTTTTCTTTCTATATTTGTAATAGAAAAAATATGTTAATAATATTAATTGCTTGGAATAGTTTAAGACTGTCTTCCATAAAGGATTTTACAATGATTGGGAAAATTAAGCTAAGACTGAATCACTTGTTATTTTCTGAAGTATTGAATTACATGTACAGTACTACTTAGATTACATTCTTATCTATTTTTTTTAGTTCAGAGACATGACACTCTGCATGAATCATACCTTAACTGGGGTATGTTTTTGTAATTTTCAGAATTTTTATCTAGGGGCTGGGGATTTAGCTCAGTGGCATAAGCGCCTGCCTTGTAAGCATGTAGTTGTGAGATCGATCCCCGGTACCAAAAAAATTTTTTTTTTATCTTTAAAAATGAAAGTTTAAAATTACATCAGTAGTAGTTACATTAAAAATGTTACAATACCTTTAAGAAAACAGTAGTCACTAAGTCTGTGTATCAAAATAATTTGAGGACTTCAGAAGCTGTAGATGTTCCTTGACTGTGTAGAGCATGTTCTAACAATGAGTGAGTTAGTAGCAATCTGGGGTAGAGTTGGTGGTGCAAGACTGTAGGCTCAATCCTGAATCCCTGACATAGCAATCTATGACTATCAGAAAAAGCTTTTACCCTAGATTGATCTGTGCTGCTATGTCTTACAGATATGTGAGTGAGGAGGCAGGACATGTCTGCACACTAGAAAATGGCTTGTGATCTCGTCACATTACTATTAAACTAAGACAGTGAGAAGGGTATTCAGTGGGGATACATACTTGAAGAGAAGAAAAAACAGTCCAATCTGATAAATTTCCAGAACTAGGAATCATGATTTAGTGGAAAGTCTTTGAATTCTTAGATAATGGTCATATAGAATACAACTTTTTAGCAGGTTTGTAGAGAGAGGAAGAAAAAACTTTTCTGGGATGAGAACATAGTTGGGGTACAGAAAGGTCCACGTAAGTGATCCAGCTGTACCATTATAGAGAAGTTATAGTTGAGGAACAAGCTAATTAAAATCAGTGTCACTGGTCACCCAGGGCAAAGGTGAGCCCCAGCTCTGGTGTGCCTACGAGGGGAACTAATCACTGTATGCTTTCTCCCCAACACTGCTCACTCTAGCATCATGAAAGCTTTGTATAAGTCAGAGACCGACTTATACTTTCCAACAAACAGACAAATGGTAAATGTTTCAGATTTTATGTACTATATAGTCTCTCTGGCAACTCCTCAACTCTGCCACATAAGCCAAAAAACATGGCTGGTCCCAAAAAAACTTCACAAAAACAGGCCAGATTTGGCCCAGAGTATAGTGTGCCAACCATAAAACCCATCCTTTTCATGATTTAAAAAAGTGTTTATAAGTTAAATCATTGAATTGAAAATTTTAAGAAAACAGTTTAAAACTGATATTATTTTATTCTCTGGATTTAACTCCCTTCAAATATATTTTATGTCACCAGATGTGGTGGTGCACACCTGTAATCCCCACACTCAGGAGGCTGAGGCAGGAGGATTTCTATGTGTTTGTGGCCAGCTTGGACTACATAGTGAGTTCAAGGTCAGCCTACACTGTGTAACAAGACCCTGTCTCTCTATATATCAATCATATTTTATATATATATGTATAAATAAATATTGCATATACTTTATATATCTGAATGTTTTATTTTTGTGTTTGTGGAGAGGAGATTGATACTAGTACAGTCTGCACAATCATAGATGACCCTGAATACATGTAGTGTTATATGTGCATACAGAGTATTGATAGTTGTTGACAATACACATCAGGGAACATATATGTTCAGTAATATTTGTGAAGTTTATGCTTAACTTAGTCAACTTTGCAGGTGAACTTAAGAGCTCAAAAAAATATTAGAAATTAAATAATGAATTTTAAAACTACTGAAAACCATACTTTTAATAATTTCAACTTAAACTTTTTAAGTTAAGATTTTAAAAGTTACTGTTAAATCCTGAGTCAATTTGAGTCCTTTATTTGGACAGTTTCCTGTGCCTTAATTTGTTTAGTAAAATAGGTTTGTAATTCTAGAGTCAGAAATAGAGCCAGTATCTTATATAAGAATTTGTTTTGAGGTACTAGGGTTTGAACTCTGGATTTTCCTCATGCTGGGCAAGCATTCTACTACTGAGCTACATCCCCAGCTCCAATGATAATAATTTATAATTACTTTTGTACTTTTCCTACATCTTGAAAGCAGATAATACATTGACCAGATGCCAGTTTTTCTTATGAGGATGGACAATCCTAAACTATGGGCATTGAATGTCCAGTGAATATTGTTCACTCATAGGAAAAGTCAGGTATCTATGTACAGCTGATTTATTCTCATGACGCTGAAAGGTTATAAATCTTTTAAGAAATAAATCTATGCCAAAGCTTATATGTATTATGGTTACACATTTGTGAAGCATATTCATTATAATTTTTCTTCAGCTATGAAAGTATATTTCCTTTGTTGACTCAAAATACAAACCTTAATGGTTAAGACCATTTTGTGTTCTTCAGAGATCTGTATTAAAATGTCCAAGCAGGGAAGATTTAGTGTTCATTTGGGTTTGTCATGGAAAATGGTTAATTTTAGCTATTTCAAGAAGTTTTTAAAAGTTGTGTCTACTATGTACTAGTTTTGGAGAGGAAAAGCACTGTAGTATGCTAATAATGGTTTAAAAATAGTAATTTTTTTAAGCTGGAGCACTATAGCTCTATGAGTAATCAGATTTGAATTAACAAACTTTCTGAGCCGCTTACTTTTATAAGTATATGAATAGACTATCAGAGAAATCTCAATTTTTAATATAAAAAAAAGTTTAAACAAAATAAACATTTCCAAGCCTGTGATTAGATATATACTGTATTTGGAGAAGAAATCATATAAAACATTAAAGCAGGTTATGATTCTGTTCTTTGCATTCCTGGGTAATTAAAACTACGATAACAGATGCATTTCTTAAAAGAACTCTTAAGTATCCAAAGGAAAGGGAAGAGTTATTTTTCCTCTCTAAGTAATTTGCCCATGTTTTACAAATCGTGGGTCAAGAACAGCCACAAGTATGCTAATCACTCAACCACTTATGTTGGAGATTATTTGAAAAGCATAGCATTTCTGTAGCTTTTGGATAGTCCTATTTGCTTTGTAATGCTGAATTCCAGGTAACCAGTGGCTTATAGATGACTTGATCTTGTTCAGATGAGAGATCTCCTGCTGCCCAGTATGTCGACCTTTTGCTGAACCCAGAGCGGTACACTGGCTACAAGGGGCCCTCTGCGTGGAGAGTGTGGAACAGCATCTATGAAGAAAACTGTTTCAAGTAACTGAGGGATCTGGGAGGTGGAGAGGAGAGATTTGTTTCTACTGGGACAAGATTATACATCCAACCAGCTTATGTTTGGGTTTTATGCTCTTTTTTTAGGCCTCGTTCTGTTTATCGACCTTTAAATCCTCTGGCACCCAGCCGAGGTAGGTTTTTGATATATTTTGATGCCTTTAGAGATTGTTTATAAAATGTCTCTGTAACTAAATTCTATAAGGAAATATTTAGCTGTCTTATATTTTGCTTAATTTGAATGGTTAGCAAAACTGTAAGATTAGTTCATAGTTAAAAGATTTCTATATATGTCTTCTGTAATTACTGTCATTTACTGAGTGCCTGGTATGTGCCAGACCCTAATCTAGGAACTTTATGTAGAATACATTAGAAGATATAAGAAATCCACATATACCAGAGACTTCCCTCAACGCTGAATGCCCAGACTCTGCCCCATACTAGTTAAGTCCAAAGTCCTGGGACAAAGACCCAAGCATCTGTGATTTTTCAGTTCTTCAGATGGCTTCAGTGTGTAGCCAAGTTTGAGAACCAGTTGGCTCAGAACAGTGCTTCTGAAGCTTCCCTGTGCATGCAGATCACCATCCCTGAGTCCCTAGGGCTTGGCCAGGGCCCAGGATCCTAATCAGCTCCAGAGTTCAGCAGCAGGGTGCTGACACAGACACAAGGAAGGAGTTCCCTGGACAGTGCTCTGTGCTGCACTGTCCTTGGGAGCAGCCAGTGGCCACATGGACATCAAGCACTGAGATGTGGCAATGTGAACTTGTATTGTTATTTTATTTAATTTTCATTCATTCAAATGTAAAAACTGAAATAGCATAAAATATCAGGACAGTGGGGACCATCTCATTTTTTTCAGTGAAAAATCAAATGGTGGGAGCCATCCTGTAATTGACTGGTCAATTTAGTGCTTGCTTTTTTTTTTTTTTTTTTCCAATCAGTTTTCGTTATTACATTTTAGGTATATACAAATACCTCATTGTTTCTCTGGTGTGAGAAACTAAAAGTGTAAATAAGGGCCAAAGCATATGGTAAGTGGGTATTGTGAAATAGGAAGAAAATGTTCAAATGGGGAGGGGAACAGTGGAGGAGAGAAAGAAGGGAGAAGTTTTTAAAAAAATGAGAAGAGAAGGAAAAAAATGGGAACAAATCTCTGTTTTCCTTAAACCAGGATTGAATTAAGAAATTGAACTCTCTAATGTTGATGAGTCTCTTGGTTTTTCTGAGGACCAAGCAGACTTGGAAGGATGCTTTTAGATTTTCACACTGGCAAATGTTCTCCAGATTCATTCCAAAACTCCTGGAGAAGGGAACTGGATCATCCAAAAGGAGCACAACTTCTTATATTTTGCCTCTTTCACTAATTTATCTCATAGCTTTTCAATTTTCAACTCAAATGTTTTAATTGAACAAAATTTTATAGACATGATAGCAATATAAAAAGTTATAGGCTCAATTCTGAACTGCATAGTAAAACCCTGTCTGAAAAAAACAAAAAGTTATATAAAGTAAAATGGGAAAGCCCCTGCTGCACTTTTCTGTACCATAGTACACCATGTAAAGAAATTCTTCCACACTTCCGTGGTTAATTTTGAAGCAGAAAATATATAATTGTTTACTTAATAAACATCAAGTCTTAAATCATTTCTGTGTTATAGTAATAAGACATGAAACTGCTAGAAGGATAATGAAACTACTACTACATAGAGAAAGTTGGAGGGTGAAGAGGAAAAACAAAGGATAAAATCTACAGAACAAGGGGTTGGGGGAGTGCTGGCCCAGCAGGCAGATGCCAGGAAGCAGTTGTGTAACCTTCCTGAGTGCCGACTGTGAGGATCTCCACTGACCTTCTCAGCTTTTTATCCACCGTTCTCCAATCAGAGCAGTGAGGCGTCTCAACTTGTTTTTCCAAAAGTTTTTGAGCAGTAGAATGTTTTTTCCAAAAGTGAAATGCTCCATTAGAATTCCCCAGAAAAAGCTGACCGAGACAAACCCTCTGTAGAAGCCACAGCCAACCACCTGGCCCCCTGTTGCAGCCCAGCCAGGGTCTCCTAAATCCTCCCATTGAGGTCTCTGTCTCTGTGCTGAAGAGCTGTTATCCAGTAGTCTCCAAGAGTGAAAAAGTGGTCAAAGAGGTGTGTGCATATAAATAAAGGAGCCATGGTATATCTTAATTATTGAAGCTAGTGGTCTTTATGAGTATTTTATTTATTTGCTTACGTTTACAATGTAATATATAAAACTATGTGAAAATCATAATTCTTTAGCCTGCTTATTAAAAAGCCTTATTTGCAGATGTTTGCACACTATGATATGAATAGTTTAACAAACAGTAACTTCTAATACAAACATTTTCTAAAATCTTTTTGTTTTCTCTTTTAGGTGAAGATGATGGTAAGTTGAAATTCTTCTGTTTAGCCAAGCATGGTGGTACACGCCTGTAATCTCAGCACTGGGGAAGTTGAGGCAGGAGGATAGTTGTAAGTTTAGACCAGCCTGGACTACAAAGTGAGCTTGAGGCCAACCTAAATTTGCATAGTGACACCCTGTGTCAAAAAAACTAAATAAATAAATAACAGTAAAAAGAAATTATTCTTTTTGTTTGCTTCAAGTATAGAAGAAACATTTTCAACTCTCAAAATGTGACTTTTCATTTTGGTTTGAAAGAAAAATCTTATTTTTCCAGAAAATAGCTACTAGCGAATGGTGACAAACATAAAATTATTTTTGATATGTAAAGTTATCCTGTTTTTAAAAAAGTATAAAGGTCATTTAATTTAAATGTTCAGTATAGAAACTCAGTTCACATTCCAGTTTCCCCATTTTCTAGTTATTAAAATGTACTTGATTGTACTCTCAAGAAGTCGAGCAAACTTAAAGTAGTTATACCAGATAATTTATAGCTTGATTTTCTTGTACATTTTGAAATTTGTAACTTCAGTTTTCAGTGTAATAATCTGATGAGGAATTTCTCGATAGTTGGTTACTTTATGTGACTGAGTAACTGTCAAAAGACACCCAAAAACCACCAAAATAATAATTTCAGTTGGCTATTTACTTACCTGTTTCAGGGGCACTGTGATGAGTACTGTGCAGAAGAGGAAGATGTATAAGCACAGTGTCTTAGCATTGGGAGCTGACAATGCATAATAGAAATGAGCACTGTACAATAAATAATATAACAAATGAAGAAATGCTCTCTATATAATCAAAGAGTAGGTGATGTAGCTCTTTACAGGTCTGACAAATATGTCACCAGAGTGATGTGGGAAAACATACTGGAGGAGATGTCTTTGGCATTTGAATAAAGGAGCAAATGTATGCCAGTAGAATTGGATAGTACATACTTACTGGAAGCAAATTAAAGTGGGTTGAGTAAGGAAAAGTCGAGCACAGTGGAACATGGAAGGAAGTCACGTTAGCAATAAGACCAGATAGTGGTTGTTTTTTGCTTTTTGTTTTTGCTTTGAAACAAGGTCTCATTAAGTTTCCTAGGTTTGCCCCAAACACTCAATCCTCCTGCCTCAGCCTCTTGAGTAGTTGGGATTACAGCAATCAATCCCGTGCCTAGTTGTAATGTTCACTTAAAATGATTGGCAAAGAGCAAATTATTGATAACTTTTGGTACCACTTGTCAGGTTAGGTAATAATGATCCTTAGTGAGGGTAAGTTGAACAAATGACTGTAGAAACATGTTTGTGCTATTTGCTGAGTATCTCAGGAGGCAAAGAAATTCCCATCATGGGTTTTATACCCTAGACTTCTTACAGCTTCACAGTGTGTTGGGTTTTCTGTTATTTTCTCAATTTAAAAAATAGTTAAAGATAAGAATTTAGGACACACACTAACAGTTTAATCCTTACCAATTGCCATGTTACTTGTTTTCACTCAGAAGTGCTGTATTGGGCCAGGATTAGCTTATTCACTTGCTCTGGCTTTTTAAATTGACAAAAAATTATACATATTTATCATGTCAGCATGATGTTTTGTAGTGTGTATCCATTGTGAAATAGCTAAATCAAGCTAAGTACTACACATTATCTCAAGTACTTACCATTTTTTTATGGTGAAAACACTTAAAATCTTAGTTTTCAGGAGTTTAATAACGTTGTTACTGAGGGTAGTCACCATGTTGTACAGTAAGTCTGTACATATTCCGTCCTATAACTAAAGTTTTGTGGCCTTTGACGTCTATCTCTTTAACTCCAGAATAGCTTCTGGAGCACCAGTACACAGATAATTCACATTCTTCTGTATTCTGTCCACTTTTCTGAAGAAGTATATTGAAAACCAAGGGCTTTTAAAATTACTCCTTAAAACTTAGGTGATTAAGCAAATATGTTTATTGACTTAGGAAAAATGGAATTATTAATAATTTGATCCTGCATTAATTTAATTCACTATTTTTTCTGGAATTTAAAAAATGTACTATGATTTTATCCTCAAAAGCAAATTTAAGATTATTAAACTAGCTTGTCTCCATGGTTTTGGATATTTAAATCTTTAATAAATTTTATGTAATATTTAGACAGAAATGTCTCAAATACTAATAGTAAAATAAGATTTTAAGAACATTCTCTAATGTTGTTTAAATTACATGTGGATTTTATTTTCTAAAATTGTATGCCTGTTTTTCCATTTCACCTTAAGCAATAGACATTTTTAGTGATAGTCCTTAATTTGACATAATAAATATTTTACAGTTTCATTCATTCTAGTATATAAATGAACATTTGAAATATGTATTATTTTAAAGAGAATAAAACCAAATAAAACAGAATAAAACTAATCAGAACAGAACAATGAAAGCAATACAGAACTTCAAAACAAGATAATAGGAAATCAACAGTGGCTACCACAATGTCTCTTGTTTTCTTCAAAAGAACTTCCATACCATCAGACATAATAAAATCAAGACAAAATAAAACCAGTCAAAAGAATGAAAGCATATTTTAAAGAGAATAAGACCAATCAAAATAAAACAGTGAAAGTGATACAGGATTTCAGAACAAGATAATAGAAAATCAGTAATGACTACCATAAAGTCTCTTGCTATCTTCAGAATTGCCCATACCATCATACATAATAAAATCAAACAAAGTGAAACGTTGAATAAAACAAAACAATGAAATGGAACAACAAACAATATAATGGAACAAAACAAAACAGAACAATATTGGATCTCAAAAACAAGACAAAATCTCCCATATTTGCTATATTGCATATTGTTATCTTCTTACTAGATGCTCATACTACCAACCTTAGGCCTGCAAAGTCGGTAGAACAATACAAGCATTAAGTTGTTTTGCTACCTCAGCCCATTGCTTATGGGTGTATGTGTGTGTGTGTGTGTGTGTGTGTGTGTGTGTGTGTGCGCGTGCGCGCGCTTTACCCCGCAACGGTTGGCTCACGGGAAGGGTGAATTGGCCTGTTTCTCCTTCCAGACCCACCATAGTTTCTGCCAACTCATGGGAAGGGCAAATTGGCTCATTTGAAATATTTTAACCTAGTTTCCCCCCACCCTTTTTCATAGGAGAATCATTCTACACATGGCTAGAAGGTAATTTGTCTGTTTTAAATTTATTGGCTTTTTGTAAAAAAAAAAAAAAAAAAAAAAACTTGTGAGTTTTAGGATTTTATTACCTAGACAAATAATTTTGACAGTTGTTTGAAAGGAAATAACACACATTTAAGTTATTTAAAGGAAAAATTATTTGAAAAATTTTGTGGTCAGCTGAAAACTAGTATGTATTATATAGGCCTATTATATAGGCCAGCTTTGCCTAATTGGTTTCCCCAAGCTTACCTCATTCTGTATGTAGTGCTCCTTTGAACTGCTCTTCTGATAACCAGTAAGCAAACCTTTCTTTAAAGTAGAGACATTCCCTTCAGAGAACAGTGGTTTTAAAATAAGGGATGATAAATTGAGTTCAGAAAGTTCTAAACATGTTTGCCTATGTTAATATAGTCAAAACTTGTCTCATTAAAAGATGAAGTGATACAGATCTTAATATATTAGATACTTTGCACTTCTTATTTCTAGTATTGAAAGATAAAATGTTATTTGTGGAAAGCTTTAAAATGTTTTAGGCTTTTAACAATATATGTTAATAAAAAAACAATTTATGTTACCAACTGGATATGTGATACTTTTGAAAACTCCCTTTATCAAGTTACTATTGGCTTATAAAACTAAAAGTTAAAACATACTAGTGGGAAGTGAACAAGTTAAATTACATAGGAAAATTGATATTTCATAGCCATAACCTTACAATAAACAAAGTTAAACTAGTCAATTCTATCTTACTTGCTATTTGGTCATGTTGTCTTACGAATATAACTTTTGTTTTTAATGAACTACATGTGTATATTTGTCATTATTAAAGAAAAGATTGTTGTACACTGTTAAGAGTTATATTGAGAAAATGATTTAAGTAAAAGATGCATAACTATGTTTAATTATTAAGTTCTACTCTAAAGATGCAAACTGTGGAAAGTAGCATTTAGGTTTAAAGAGGTCATCAGAAATGCCAAATGTTGATAACAAGGGTTAGAATAAAATTTGGGATCATACTAGACTCTAGGTCTCAACCATTTTTCTAGTATCCTATTGTTGTGTGTTCCTGAATGTGGATACATGCTTCTAGAGAGCAGTCCTTTTTATTGCCAGCTGGCCTAGCCATTTCAGAGATTCAGTTTTTGTCATCTGGAGCTTCAGAATGACAAAAGCAATCATACCTAAAATATTAGCATAAATGATCCCTGTAAAATGTTTTGAAAACCACTGCATAGTGTGGAAATGCCAAGTATACTGCCACTGTGCATCTAGACCTTTGATAAGACAGAGGAATGTATCAATATTCCATAATTCCATTGCTGAAAATAAATTTGAATGAAATTCTAGAAGAGAAAGAGAACCATTTCCTGAATTGGGCAGTTGAATTTGCTGTGTACAGTTTAAACTAGAAGTTGGTGAGTTTTGCTTTCATAGTTGCTCTTGGCAGATGTTACCTCAGAGCAAGACTGAGAAGGCTTGTACATGCCCTCCATAGTCAGACACACCACCGCCTGGCAGTAGACAGGCAGGAGAAAACCTCTCCAGCAGTATCAGTATGCTGGTAAAGCATTTTGTATGTCTTACTGGTTACCATTTTGCTTGCTGGTACTCCTCTTCCCAGCTCATAAAGTACATTTCTGCCCCACCTTTTCTCACTTATCCCGTCTCACTCTAGGTTAAGGGCTTTATGAGCTTTACAAGTTAGATATCCCAGTTTTCCAGTGCCTGTATTTTAGATATAGGATTTTCATGACCTGTCATTTGTCTGCTCTTCTCTAGCCTTTAAGCCATTTTATTGGAGTTAAGTACCGATAGAGAAGCAGGTTAGAAAGACTAGAAAGTGAATTTCAGATTTATCTTTTGCTACTTGAAAACAGATTTGATGAAATTTTTTTTTTTTTGTCTTTTTCGTTTTTATCGGTACCAGGGATCGAACTCACGACCGCACACTTGCAATGCAGGAGCTTATGCTGCTGAGCTAAATCCCCAGCCCCAAATTTTTATTGTAGAATTAGTACTTAATTATTTACTGGATCTATTCATATTGTTTGTATCCCTTATTATCTATGAGCATTTAAAATTGGCCTTAGACTTCTAAGAGTAAGGTACAAAATAGAATTTTTCTACTTTTTTATTTCTATCCATGAATTCCAAATTAGAGAATAAGATATCAAAAAAGTATTTTTTTCCAATTAGATGCTGCTTGCTATGGGTTATGCTAAGACACAAAAGGTAAATTGAAATTTGAAAGAGCTTCACAAATGCAAAGTATACCACAAAATACCCTTACATTAAGAAAATTTGCCAAGAGTATAGATGACACTGTGCCTTCTACTGTTAAACCCATTTTCTTCCACAGGAGGATGTTAAAATACACACACACACACACACACACACACACACACACACACACACAGCCCTACCTGTCGTGTAATGAAGGGAGAAAGCTTAATTGCTCTAATCCAGTGGATTCTTAAAACTTTACTGTATCTTCATATATTTTAAAATTTTTTTCTCTGAGTATATATATTTTTTTAACACTAGGTACATTCAACAGAAAAAAAGGCATAAAATATCCCCTAAATATCCCCATATCTTTCCTTGAGAAATCAAAAGTAAAAGAATAAAACCAAAAAGGAATAGAAAAAACATAATAAAGATCAGAAAACACAGTCCCTTATCAAACTGCAAACATCCTTTTTCATAAAGATGAACATTTTGATTCTTACATTTCTGTAAAAATAGAAAAGCCTCAGAATAGTATAACCACTTTTATAAAGGAACAGAATTAGAGCTCTAATCCTCCCTAATGCCACGACTTATCACAAAGTTACACCAATCATGACAAAATGGCATTGATAATCATGATAGGCAAACCACCAGAGTACCCAGGTAAGGTCCCAAAATAGATACCTATGTAACAGACAACTGATTTCTGGCAGAGATTCAAAAGCAATTAGATGAAGAAAGGATTGTACCCTCAATAAATATACTGAAACAACTGAATATCCACATGCAAAAAACCCAAACCTTAAAGCACATCAAAAATTTCTTAAGACATCGTGGGCCATCCATGCATGGGCCAAATAATAGAATCAGTAGGATAATTATGAGTAAGTTAACAGTTCCATCAAAAAGAGATAGTAATGGCTTCTCATAAGGAGGATAAGGACAAGGTCCAAGAAATTTTAGAATCTGACATCATTGATTTGTCGTCTAATATCTTGAACAGTTAATTGAGATATTAACAAAAGGACCAGGAATGTACACACATTTACTTTTTATAATTGCACAAGTACCTCCTGTGCTTAGGATGTCTAATACCATCTAATTTTGGAGGATGGCCAGTTTTATTAGTTTTACCTTTTTTGTTTATGAGAGATGGGCTACAATGTCATTTAAAGTCTGTTGAGTATAGGTAAGGCTTCAATATGTATCATATAACCTTTTTGTGGATAAGAGCTGCTGGGTATTGGTTTCATGTGTATGATGTCTTGGGGTTTGGCACCTTTCAGACAAGAACAAACTTTAATCAAAGCATGTATAATCAATATATATAAAGGCATATATAATCAAAGCATTAGTGTTAGACTTGACAGGTAATTGTAGAAACTTTCTAAGTTATAGCAATTTTAACCCATGGCTTTTAGGATCTTTTATTAACAGAATCTGACATTTTGTTGTAAATTCCCCTAGCTTTAGTTAATTATCTCTATATTTTTGATAATGTAGGAGAATCAGATTAATACACTATTTTGACAAATGAAAGACTCATAAGTTTTTATATATGAACAACAATATGTACTATATTCATAAAAATCAGTCTCAGCATCATTTTGATTAGTTGGAAACTTGGAGATATATCTCCAGGATTGGAGTCAGGCTTTTAGATATTACTAAAAGAATGAGAGAAAATTATCCCAGTTACAGTGTAAGCAACCTATATTTTGGTGCCTATATTGAGGTACAGTGCCTGGAAGGAAGACCAGAGTGGAGGACAAATGTCCAGCAATCGGCTTTTTTTTTTTTTTTTTTTTTTTAACCTCTTGTCAAAATTACTCAGGGCTCCTCTGCAGAGATGACAGGCAGAGATGACAGTCTGGCTCGAGGGAGGAGAGGAGTTGAGGACAAAATGGTTGACTCTCTCCAGCTTATTCACTACCAAGTAGGTTCAAAGAAATGCTATTAGAGGCACAGGGAGAAATCGCTACTGCTTGGCCAAGGCAGTAACCTTATAGTTCATTTGGTTTACTAAATTCTTGGCCTAACACATGAAGAGCTTGTGCTATCACCTCCTGGGCAATGTGGGAACTTACTGGCAATGTCCACAGTGTTTGACTGCAGAAGCCCAGACCATTATGTCTTTTTTTTTTTAATTTTAAAAGAAATACAACAGAACGATAAAAGGAATCGAGACAGTGATAAGACATTAAGAAATTTACAATAGTTACTATATTGCATATTGTTGTCCTCTCAAGAATGGCTCAGACTACCCGCTTAGGCCTGAAAAGTCAATCAAATAATACATTTCCTCCAAATCAGCTGGTTGCTCGGGGTTTGCCCACATGCTGGCTGGTTCACAGATGAGGGCTTAGCTTCCTCCCCGCTTCTCCTGGATCTGCACTCCTGACCATTATTTTTTTCTGCATTAAGTTCTCATCATACACAGCTCCATTCTGAAGGCAGATTCTTTCTTTGTCTTCTATTGGGATCATCTTGATCTAGTTGTTTAAATAGTATTTCTTGATTTATTTTTAATGTTTTGAATCTTAATTTGAAAATAAGCCTGTGTAGTGATTATTCTTGATTCAATATTTCAGTTATCTAAATATGCATGATTTCTTTTTCCAATATTTTCCGAACAGGTTTGTGTCTGGAGAAGAGAGTCTTCTATAAGCTTATGTCAGGACTTCATGCCAGTATCAATTTACATCTATGTGCAAATTATCTTATGGAAGGTAATCAGGTTTTAAATAGAGATTTTGCCATTTTCACTGTAAAGATTAATTGGAAGGGGAATATGTATTCTCTAGAGCAGTCTTCTATTAAAACAATGTAATGTATTTCTCTCTCATTTTTTTTTTTTTAGAAACCTGGGGTAAACCGAGTTGGGGACCTAATATCAAAGAATTTAAACGCCGCTTTGACCCCATAGAAACCAAAGGAGAAGGTCCTAGACGGCTTAAGAATCTCTACTTTTTATACTTAATTGAGCTGCGAGCGTTGTCAAAGGTGGCGCCCTATTTTGAACGCTCCATTGTGGATCTTTACACTGGAAACATGGAAGAAGATGCTGACACCAAAACCCTTCTACTGAGTATCTTTCAAGATACAAAGTAAGGACTGTCAGTGTTCTGAGATATCCTGACATTGTGTCCAGAGGATGTGATGCCTGGCATACAACCAAAACCGACTCCTAGGTGTTAGAAAAAGGGAGGAATAGAACTGGGAAGGCAGTGTCAGTAGACCAACAGCATAATTATTTCTAAGGTTTTGTTTGTGATACCAGAAATTAAACTCAGGACCTTGTGCTTGCCACGGAGGTGCTGTGCCACTGAGCTATATCCCCAGCCCATTAAGTATTTCTAAACATGTGAACTAAAAAGAATCTATAAAACTCTGTTAGAGAAACTTTTACACTTGAAAATAGGCTGTATTTTAAAATATGATTTGAGATTTTGTGTTCTCTCACATTGTAATGCTACTTATAAGTTTTTTTCTATCAATTTTGTATTCCTCCAATTGCTATTTAAATCTAAGTGATATCAAAAGTATATTAGCATTAAGATGAATACATAGAGGAGTATTAGCCTTATTTTCCAGAATATAACTTTTTTTAAAAAATGCTTAGTCACTAAAACTCAAGTTTAGTGGATGTTCATATGAGCAGAGAAGAAAAGTTAAAAGGAGCTAAAAGTAAGTTAAGTCTTAAAAGAATATAGAGTGTGCATGTTTTCCACATAAATTGCTTTTCACTTTTAAGATTATCATGCAGTGTCCTCCAGACATGACAGTCTTACTAAATTATACAGCTATTTGTAGTTTAGTCTTTGATTAAATAGTTTTCATGTGAACTGTTACTGTCCTATAAGTGAATAATGAATCCTAAGTACAGAAATAGAAATTTCTCCTTAAGCTCTAATACAAGGTACTTGAATTTTTCATCTGTAGCTTATTATGATACTGTCATTTCACCAGGTCCTTCCCCATGCACTTTGATGAGAAATCCATGTTTGCAGGTGACAAAAAGGGGGCCAAATCATTAAAGGTAAAAACTGTTTTTGGTTGAGGTATAGGATGGGGTGCTGTTTACTGTTTATATTTTAATTGTATTCATGTAAACACTTTTCTTTCCTACATCTACAACTTTTGAACTTCCTCTGATTGGATTGTGCTGTAAATGGTGATCCTCACTTGAGCACCTGTGACAAACAGTGTAGTAGTAAGGAATGATTTAAAACTTAATCATTGTTCTGGGGCCAGCATTCTCATTTAGATACACACAAAGCAAATCCTCAAAAGTAAATGGAACATTAAAAAGATATGTTTTCCATTAGTCTTATAAGGTATCAAATGGAAACAGCAGTTAAATTCCTTAAAAGTAAAAAACATGTATTGTTTACTTTTGAGTGCATCATAATGTATATTTTGGTGTTTTGCATCAATTAGCCCCCAATAAAAAGTTTTAATTAATATGCAGAATGAATTTGTATAAATTTCCATTGTCAGTTTTTGTGATGTTTTGCTATACAAATTCAAATTATTTTTATTTTTGAAAAGCAGCTCATTCATTAATAAACTTAATTCTTATAGATTAAATAGAATTTACTTTTAAAAGACTAATTAAACCAAACTGCCTATAATCTCAGTAATTGGGAGGCTGAAGCAGATTGCAGTAAATTCAAGTCTGGCCTGCACTACATAGTGTGAACTCTATCTCAAAAAAAAGAACATTCTAATTAGTCTGAAAATGTTTTCTGCCTTCTAGGAGGAATTTCGATTACATTTCAAGAATATTTCTCATATTATGGACTGTGTTGGATGTGACAAATGCAGATTATGGGGAAAACTACAGGTATGTTATGCTTTTTCTTCTAAACTATTAACCTTACATTTTTTCACTGAGTCATTGCAAGTATTTACTTAAATATCTTCATTCACTGAATTGAGTTTACCAGCAGGCTGATACATGTGATTTTTCTGTTTTATTGATAAAAAATACAGTTAAACTCTGTTGTGTGTACACATGCAAGAATGTTTTTCTGTTATCTGTTAAAATTTTTCTTGTATCTCATGTCTGTGGTACAATCTCAGGTTCATTTCTGATGCTGATGTATGAATAAAGAATTTTGTGTATTTAAAAGGTAAAATTATAAAAATTGAATTTGTCTTGATAGTCAAAAGAAGTCACTGAGTCACAAGAAACAAAAACTCTACAAAGAACGATCATGACCCTGAATATTCAGTCCAAAAGGATTGTTTGATATTTTTAAATCTTGTTTAAAGATGTACAAAGACGATAAGATTTAGAGAAAATCAAGAGTCAGAATTGTAAGTCAGGTGTGGTGGCACATAATTATAATCTCAGCACTTCGGAGGCTGAAGCAGGAGGATCACAAGGCCAACCTGGGCTACATAATGATTTTGAGGTCAACCTGAACTACATAGCAGGACCAAGTCTCAAAAAACATAATAATTTTAGTGGATGCTACACTGAAATTCAAGGATTTTTTTTCCTCTGTTAATAACTGAGAAATTTAAATAATTATCATTGATAATCTGAGTTTTGAATTACTAGGACCTATAAAAAAAATGATTTGTCTTGGAGGTAGAAAACTTGACCAGCATGCATGAAGCCCTGGGTTCAATTCCAAGCACCAGAAGAAAACAAACAAACAACTCTAAAAAGGAAAAACTTTCAAGTTGACAAATCAAATGTTGTAGTCCTTGTGTAGTATTTTCAAAGTTTAGAACAGAAATCCTAGTAGTTTGAAATAGGGCATGTTCAAGAAGTATTAGACTATCTGGGTTTCCTTAACAGTTTAGCTAAATTTATTACACGTAAACCTTGGAGTAAAAATTATATTGTGCATATACTTTAGCATTTTGGCCAGGCGTGGTGGCACACATCTAATAATTCCAACACTCAGGAGGCTGAGGCAGGAGTATCGCCATGAGTTTGAAGCCAGCCTGAACTGCGTAGGGAGATCTTGTCTCTTTAAAAAAATTGTTTTTTGTGAAAAGTTCAGCTCATAGGAGTTTTCTGATGGTCATCAGGGTGGCTGGGTATTCCATTAAATCTTTATTGGAATTGTGATATGAAGTTATTTGTACATGTGTTTTGTTTTAAGACTCAGGGTTTAGGAACTGCCTTGAAGATACTATTCTCTGAAAAAGAAATCCAAAAGCTTCCAGAGAACAGTCCTTCTAAAGGCTTCCAACTCACACGGCAGGAAATAGTGGCCCTTTTAAATGCTTTTGGAAGGTAAGAACCATTTCTGCAGCAAAGTCTTAATTCCCCTGCAGGTTTCCATCATGCAGAAATCACCTTCTCTTCTACCATAGAATTGGCTTTGGTTTGGTGTGTTGATAAAATGATGCAATTATATTATACCTGTTCTCCCTTTGCCTAGAATAGCCTCAAGGCTGACAAGTCAGTTTTTCCATGGGGCATAGGAAAAATTGTTTCAGAATAACTGCCAGTATTTTTGGTCTGTTTGCCTCTGAATTTTATGAGGAAAATAGTCTCCTAATAATCTTCTTTTTCAGTGGCTCTAACTTATTGCAGCACAATTATAGGAGTCAAGGAAAGCAAGAGAGGAGATTCAACACTTGTCTGCTCTTTATTTCTTAAGCTGTGGAGATTCACACATTTCTACTCCATTTTTTGTTTACAGACATAGTTTGCTTGTTTGAACCACAAGTAGTTTCAAAAATAATTTGAATTTGCCCACAGAGATATTTGCAGTACCAACTGAGGAATACATAGAACACAAGAATAACAATCATAGAAAATAATACTATGCTATGTTAGAAAAATAGGGCAAAAAGTCAAATCAAGGAAAAGTTTTTTTTAATAAGGGATCAAGTGATTCAGAAATTTTTGTGTATGTTTTCTTTGTATATGTTTAAAAGACATGCATATGTTCAAAACACATAATTTAAAATAGATATTACAATTTCCCCTCATAACAGAAATCGTACCTCTTGCTTCCCTATATTTAATGATAACTGTATAGGTTGAGATTTAAAACACAAGATAGAATGTCCAGTGTTAATCTGTATTTTATAAAAAATTCAGTCCACCTACTTCTGAGGACCAAGGAAGTTAACATAGGAGAAATGATAAAATTTATTTGAAATGAAATAGAAATGAAGCCAGACAGGGAGGTTCATGCCTGTAATCCCAGCATGTAGGAGACTGAGATGGATTACCGAAAGTTCAACACCAGTCTGCACAGTAAGTTAAAGACCAGCCTGAACTGCATAGTAAGACTCTGTTTTAGGAAACAAAAAGTGATTGGGCATGGTGGCACATGCCTATAATCCCAGCACTCAGGAGGCTGAGGCAGGTGAATCATTGCAAGTTGGAGACCAGCCCATGCTATAAAATGAGCTCAAGGCCAACCTGAACTACATAGCGAGACTCTGTCTCAAAAAGATGATAAAATAAAGGGAAAATAAAACTGAAATGAAAAAGACTTCAATTGAAATGCTTAAGTCCAAGATTAAAAAAAATAATTTTATGTAAATTTCTCTGAGACTCATAAATGCATTCTTGTAGTTTTAGTTCTGTATCTAGAACCCATTACCTTTATGGTTCTTTAAGAATTTTAGAATCCTGGTCTGTCATTTACTAACAGTGTGGGCTCCACCAAATCCCTGCTGTTCTGGCCTGCTTCCTTTTTAGGTGACAAGAAGAAAATAAAACCTTAGTTTAAATCCATCTACTAGGTGCGTGAACCTGGGGAAATACTTCATCAATTTGAGCCTTGGTTTTCCTGAAATGTAAAAGCAGGGTTCATTGTATGTACTTTGCTGCTTTTCAGTGTTTTTGAGGTCATATACACAATAAGAAGTAGGTAGACTGAATTTTTTATAAAATACAGATTAACACTAGAAAGTTGCACGGCACATCCTAAGCGCTTAATAAATGGTAATATTTCCAGTGTTGATAAAAATAGCTAAACTCTTAAATTGTAGGAAAGAGAAATATTTTTTTTGTCAACTCTCTCTCAGTTGTACATAAGGAAGACTGAGGTTGTAGGGGTTTTTGGAGAAGAGTGTGCTAAATAAAGTGTAAAGTCCAATATAACTGATTTGAGATTATTTATTATGAATTATTCCTGTCTTGGTTTCCAACCTAATCTGCTTTCTATTAAGAAGTACTATGTAGATTCTCTACCTCTTCTAAACTAAGACCAAATAACCAAATAACCAAAACCATGTTTTGTCAGTGTTCAATAAAAAAAAATTAGAGCATACTCATTTAAAACTGGAATCTTCAATGTTTAGTGTTGCTTATATATTTTGGATTTCACTTTTAAATTGTACCCATATGACAGTATCAATAATTTGAAATATGTACACATCATATTAGCTGTATGTACTAACATTGCTTTTTTTCCCCCCTCCTATAGGCTTTCTACAAGTATAAGAGAGTTACAGAATTTTAAAGTCTTATTACAACACAGTAGGTAATGAAGGCTTTTATATGCCTAATTAGACACATAAAGGGACTATGTGAAGCCTTTTTAGTCTTGGACATTCAGCAAAAAGACTAATCTTCTAAGACTTCAAGAATTCTGAACTCTTAAAAGAGAAAATTCAAATGCTCACTTGAATATTTATGATCCATAGTAGATTAATAGAGCTATTTATAAGTGAAGTATATACTTTTAAAAAGTGTGTTATACTAATTCTGTGTTTGTGTTTCTGTCTATTGAATATTATATTTGTTTTGAATTGGTTTTGCTGTTATTCTGTTGTTCTTTTATTTCCATTTGTTGAACTTTCAATGACTATCTGTTCTGGTAACACCATTACCATCTATTGTAGAAAAGGAGAACTAGGGAACCATTGTTGCTCAGGGCTGCCATCAGTGGTAAAATTTATCAGTGACTTAAGGTGTTTTTAGCCTTGCCCAGCACTACAGCTGTCATCTACAATATGGAGTTGTCAGTGCAGTGACTGCCCTTTTGGTGGGTGGTTTCAGAGGTTCCTTAAGATTCCCCAGGATTCCAACTTCAATTTATTGGTTTTATTTGAGGTGTTTAAGTTGTGGTCGCGCTTCTTGGTTTTGGGTCTGAAGGACCTGTGGTGGTGAGAGGTGGCTAGGTGAGTGCTCAGCCAGGCAGATGCACTGTGCACTACTGGGCTGTGCAAGAGTGTTCTTTCCTCAGAGCCTGCAGCTCACTTTCTTCCAACTCTGCCTCTCCTTCTCTCCTAATTTTAGACATGTTTCTTTAAAAGAAAAACCGTGCCCATTCATATAATTATTTCTTGATAAAACAAGTGGAATTCTATGAATTTATAATGCAGATTGAAACTACATAAAATTTGCTATTTCAAAATAAACATTTTTAAAGGGGTTAATTTTGAATACAACCTATGCAATCCTCTAGCTCCCCATCTAGTTTTCTCCAGTGAGACATTTGGCAGGGAGTTGAGGTAGCCCTCTTCCAAGCTTCCTGTCCTCCCTCCTCTTTCCATCTTTGTTCATTTTGTATTGATGGTACTTTGTGTGACCTGGATCAAGGAACAACTCACAGGTCCTAGACTATCAGTTTATAAACCTGGGATTTAAAGTCTTCAAACAGTATTTAAAATCTTGAATCTTTTAAAGATGTCAGGAGATACAATAGGACTGATTTTAAAGGTTGCATCTGTGAAGTAATGTTAGTCTAGTTTCTCCTTAGACTCTTTTGTGAATTAAGTGCCCTTAAACCCACATCTTATTCTGCCAAAGTCTGAAATGTGTTGAGTTTTGACATATTTTAAGTTGTACATAGTTTACCCTCTTTTAAAAATACTTAGCTGTCCTATGAAGAATATAGTTGGGGAGTAAGGTCTCACTGTTTTCTCACCTAATTATCACTAACTTGCTAACCTTGGGATTTGGTTGTGGCAGTGGTGCTTGTAAAATAGTAAAGGCTAGCTTGATGAAAACTTTCTGTACTTTTTCTTTGCTTTTTTAGGGTTGCAAGCATTTTATGGTGAGGGTAGGCTGGGACCTTAAGGCAAACTGCTTTGAAAGCAATTATATACTAATTTTAAGAGTATATTAATTATTTTTAGTGTTCATTTGGAGTTAAACAATGAAAAATTTTGTACTTTGTGTATTTTTTATTTAAATTTAAAATTTTCTAGGTAGTGTTATTTCACCATTCCTGTAGTTAAAAGATAATATTTAAACACTATTACTAAAGAAACTTAGTTGTTTCTATTTATTGCGTTTTTCTTTACTGTAATTTGCCTCAAGCTTAGGAAAAATAGTCTTACTGCGTGTTCTAGGAAATTAGAAGATTTAGTTGGAGTAAGATGTTTTCTTCAAAAGTTTTAATGAATTTTTTCACTAAGAAACAAATGAAGTATTCTTAAGCTGAGATTTAATTAACTATTTTACTGTAAATCAGATTGAGGAGGGCCTGCCAACATTGTGTGTATGTATGTATTTCTAACATTGCGTAACCTGTGGGAGCCTGTGTTCTATCAGCCTGGTGGTGTTGTGTTAGGTCCTTGTACCATGGACTGTCTTCTAGTTCATGTTCCCCTTGCTGCGAGGTGACAGAGGAGCAGTCTGCGTTGTGAACATGCCGGCTAGTGAGCACCTCGTGGCGTTTTGTTTTAATGTTCTCACCTACTTTAAAGTCCAGCACTTCACCATGTAACTGACCGAAACGATTGTAACAGCTGAAGAAATAATGAACATGAAGAAAAGGAAGCATTCTTTCCTTCAGTGGCATGCAGTTTTTTACAAGTGGAATCTGTAAATTAGAAAAACTGTATATTAGTAAATTTTCATAGTCACTCATTTTGATTCTTGGGTTATGAAGAAAATCAGAGTAGTAATAGATTTTACTTAAAAATTTATCAAATGTTTTAACTTCAGACATTTGAATTAGTCAGTTTCGTAGTCTCATGTGTATGAAACACTGAGCCACTTTTCCACTTTGCCTAGGTGCCACTGTATGTAAGAAAGGACAGCTCTTTTGGTCTGCATCAGCATTGCCTTCAGCTGGAAACTTGAGCACAGTTCACAGTACCCCTCCCAGCAGTTTTGGAAACTGAAATACCTGAGGAAAGCGTAGCTGTTCACCAAAAGGCAGGTTAGGTACATCAAAGCCCAACACATAAATCCATGTTGCATTATCAGTAATATCTTTGGGCCCCGCTTTGATTTTTATGAACAGAATTCCAAGTAATTTGCTGCTGTATCATCAGACGCAAGAAAATGTGAATTAAAAGTACATCTTTCTGCAATCTTTTGCCTTGTTTTTCCCATTTTAAATGTTCTTTTATGAGCTGAAGATGTTTATAATATGCCAAATAGGAAAAAGTATTTTTCCAGGTAGCCAAAGGCAAGGTTTGGTAAGCCCTGATTTAAGGGCTTTCCATGCATAATTTCATCTTCATCAAAGCAGTAATAGGTAAGTAAAACTCCGTTTTAGATTTAAGAATACTGATAGTCACAAATGCTGTGTCATGTTAGCTCGAATTTGAAATCAGAATATCTTTAACTCCAGAGCCTCTATACGTAAACATAGTCTATGTCATTTCATAAGTTGCTCTATTACCATTCAGCTGAAAGTAGAAACTTTTAGCATCTTTTGGTATCTAGCAATTAAAAATAGCATATTTTGTTTGACTTTTAAAAATAGGTTGTACATTCACATGGGTTTAGAAGACCGAAAGTTATACAGTAAATGCCTCAGGCCCAATTTGCTGCACTTCACATACCCCCACTATACCCAACCTGTTCTTGGTCTCTTATTTCCATCTGTTATGTTTTCTCTCTGAGCTCATGTTTGAGGACAATGAAGGATGAAGTAGACACAGAACCGGGGTACACAGGGAGAGTAGTTTATTAAAGATGCACTCCCATTAACCAAGATGGGCTCCAAAGGAGGATGCCAGGTGGCACCCAGTTTGTGGGGTTTAGTGGGTGTGAGGAAATGAAACTGTTGGCATTTTTTAGCTGGGCCTCTGATTTCAGAACAGACTTCCCCTGTCCTCTGGCTTCCCAGGGCACACTTCAGGGAGCCTCTTCCCGTGCTCCAGCTTTGCCAGCGCTTACCTCATTTGACTCAAGTGTCTGACCTGGCTGCCCACTGTTTCTCTATCCCTGTTCTCACAGCCGTACGTTTAAAGGCATATACATGTCTTATTTTTCTCTTTTTCTCCAAAGTGACATCAAATGCATACTATTTTGCTTTTTTCCACACATCAGTAGATAAGTTTTATTACTTTCTCAGGGGCTATTTGGTATTATATCATATGGATGTGCCATCACTAACTGGTCCCATTAATGGGCATTTGGGCTGTTTCCAGACCATGAAGATGTCATTTTGTATTTGCATATGTGCCTCCATAAGAAATACAAAGGGAATTCTGAGGTTAAAGCTTATGTGCCTTTGTAACTTTGAAGGACAATAACTGGTACACTCCTCCTTGGGAGAACAGTACCAATTCACATGCCATCTAAAATTTATGGCTATATACTTACCCACAACCTCACTGTCAGAGATGTTATTATAATGTTGGCTTGGGCCATTCTGATAGATGGAAAAAATGGTGTTTTTTAGTTTATTTTCTAATTATGAATAAAGTTGACCAACTTTAATATTTAAGAGCCATTTGTATTTGCTTTGTATATATTTATATTCATATCTTTTCTACCTCATGATTATTCTTACTTTTCCATATGAGCTTAAAATAATCCTTTAACATTTGGAGCACTTTTACCCACAGATAGTCATTTTTTAAATTTGACTCATTTCCTGGTAAAGATCTATCTATTTACTGTGTGTTAACTTCAGTAACCTCTCTGCCAATCAGGTAACAGGCAAATAGAGGCATGTTGCAGTGGCTGTGGACAGAATTAATCTTGGTGCTTCTATCTTAAGACATCATCTCCAAGAATGATTTGAGGATTATACACATATATTTATTACCTTTCTTCCTGTTATGTTCATACATTCATATCTGTTAGTATTCTTTGGATATCTGTCAAAAATCTGTAAGAGGGAGGAGCCTTTAAGTGGGTAGTAGTACACCAGTAAAATCAATACACAGTAGTTAAAAGTGTAAGTTAGCATTTTATAGCCTAAGGAGATTATATACCATTTATAGTGAGAAATTACCCAAAGAAGCTGGAGAGGACATGTGCCAATCTAGAAATCTGTCTGTGGAGAAGGCCCCCTGCACAGGAATGAACTGTGGCACCTTTCTGTTAGTGCCATTACATTGTAATAGGTGAAGTCACTCTCCAGACACCTGTTGCCTAGGGCTTACCTCTGGTGTCAGGTTGTGGCCTTCCTTCACAGAAAGTACCTTCAAGTGGGTAAGTGCTCTGCAGCCTTTCAGTTGAGGCTCCAGGCTGGTGAGTTCACTCAGGCGAAGTACAGCAAGGAGTCGCACTTAAGCACATTTAAGGGGCCCGGAAAAGCAATACTTGCTTGTCCAAATGCACCCTTTCTGTACTTTAGCTAATGTTCCTTCAAGGAGCACCATGACTTGGGAGGACTCCTGGGGCTTAGATACATGAATGAAGGGCATGGCAACAGGAATCAGTATGGAAAGGGAGGACTTCTGAAGACAGTGCAGACTGAAGAGACACAGGTCATAATACTTAGATGAGGAGAGTAGACTCTGGGCTCCAGTTCTAAAAAGGTTCAAGGTCAGGAGTAGAAACTTGATTCTGGACATCATAGTCTAACACACTGGTAAGGCACCAAGGTCCAAAAGGACAATGGAGATGTGCAACTAAAGAATTCTTTGGCGTGCAACTGAAGAATTCTTTGGCGTTAAGTCAGTGCCAGGGAAAATGGGGCAGGGTCCAGACACAGCTCAGGCAGTAGAGATAGGAAATGCAAGCTTAAGGGAAACAAGTGAATGCCTAGTTTTCACATAAATCCACCTATTAAAATCATGAGCTGGGGATGTAGCTCAGTGGTAAGAGCACTTGCCTAGCTTATATGAGCTGCGTTTGTCCCAGCACCAAAAACAAACAAAAAAAGCAATCTATTTATATCCATTATGTAGCTATGAATGAGAATCTTTTCTCATTGTCAAGTCTCAGGTTGATGAATATTACTCATGCTTGCTACAGAGATTATCAGCTCAACACCAAGGCTGAGAGCAGTTGTCCTAAGTGAGTGGTGGCAAACCTATAGGATGCATATTTTCCTTTTAAAACAAAAGATGTTAATGTATAAGTTATTTTTTTCTAAACTAAAATCTCAGGTTTGCAATGCTAGCACTTTGCACTAGGTGGGTTTTAGGTTGCACTTTGGGCACTCATCTCTAGGAAGTTTCACCATCAGTGCCCTAAAAGGACTGAGCAGTTTGGAAGATGCTAGTGTGTTTATCAACTGTAACCAAGTGTAAGACACTCTAGACTTTATTTACAAAAGGAACCAGTGACGGCTTTCTACACAGATCAGTTAGAATTTTAGACAACTACAGAGCTGCCATCCTTTCCAGTAGTCATAGTCACACACACACACACTTTCAGCCATTGCATTCAGACAGACGAGTGATGGTACAAAACTTTACGTAATACTAGCTCTTCCTCATGCAGTTGCAACTTTCAAAGTGTAAGTTTTATCTTCAAAATAGAATGGGTCTTTTTGGACTGGCAATCACCTTTTCCCTCTCGGGGGTGATACTCCACATGAGGAAAAGCACTGGTTGCCTCCAGCAGCAGATGAATGAAGAGCCTCAAGAGACCTTCCCTTTTTTCCTTCCCCACCCCAACCAGGCATGCACGGTGGACAGGACAGTCTCCCCCCAGTCATGGTTCTTAAAAGTCTTCTAGTATGTGCTGACTGAACTCCTCAAAGTTTCAGCATTAACTTTGTAAAAGGAGGGCAGAATAGGCATTTGCATCTTTTTTTATTCAACAAAGAATAACAGTTTGTATGAATACTAGCAGCTTTATCAAAGTAGATTATGGTTTCTGACAATGCTGTATATCTCTATTTTATAAAGTGTTTATGTACTATAAGGTAGATACTGTTACATAATTTAGTGACACTGTATTTTTTCTTCTTTTTTTGGTACTGGGAATCAAACTCAGGACCTTACACTTGCCAGGCTGGCACTTGTGCCACTGAGCTAAATTCCTGGCCCCAAACACTGTACTCTTAAAATATACCTGCCCTCTGCTAACCAAATACAGTGGGTCACTAACTTCATTCCATGAATCTAGAAAAGATCTGGCCATGTTCATGTAGGAAAGATAGCTGCAGTTGCCACCTGATGCAGAGTTCATAAAGTTTTCCCAAACAAGCATTTGTGAATGAAGGCACCACTATATTAAAAGATGCAGGACTTTCTACAGATACGACTTAGTGTGATCATGACCTTTACTTAAAAACCATGGTTTAATGGTTGGCGGTTACAAAAAACTATCTGGATTTCTGTCTTTTTGACACCAGCACGGGGGGTATAATGCTCTCCTGGGATGCTCTTGGTTCTCCCTTGGTAACAGTGACCACTCACTGAGCTGGAAATGTACAGTCTTGCTATAGTTCTGATGTAATAGATATTTTGAGCTGAAAAAACTATGCGCAGTCACTTTGTTTATAGCAGGAGGTTTAATAGTGTCACCTACACTGTTAACATGGTCCACCTGTTAGCACTGAAGTGTGTACATTGGTGCCCTGATGAAAGAAAGTACCAGACTTTTGGCAAAATGTCAAGAAAACCTTTGAAACAAAACATCTAGACCTTAATATACTAAAAAGTCAAGTTACTTTAAAGACTGATGAAAAGCTATTTCATTTTGACTTTGAACACTGGAATCATATGTCAAGTGAATTTCAGTAGTCTATCAGGATGGAACGAGTCTGAGTGACCTTTAGAGGTAAGGATTTGCGGAATACTTTAGTCCAAAAGCTTTTAAAAAAAAACTATTAGACCATATATTACGTTGTTTTAAAGTGAATTATGCATAACAGTCTTGTGCAAACTACAACATATATTGCAATAACATTCTTGAAAAAAAACCCTAGTATACTTTAGCATTATTATTAAGTTATATAAAATACATCTTTATAAAAGTACAGATTTTTAAAAGTTTAAATTATACCCAGTGAAATAGGCTCACTTATTAGTACTAAAATAGGATCTATGAATCTAAAGAATTGCTTAGTCTTGGGAACCTATAATAAAACCCAAGTCCTTTATCTTAAGGAAAAGCGCCCTAAAGATCATCTTGCAGTTTATCTTTGTGGAGTTTTCCAGTAGGCATCTTCCTTCCACAAAGCCAACTGATGCTACCCGTGGCTCGGTCTGTCAGGATCCAAAGTTGAGTCTTGCTGCAAAGTTCCTGCTTGTGCTAGGAAGCTGTTCGTTTGTTGTCCCCAATCATAGTAGTCTGGAGCAAAGCTTAAAAAAAAAAAAAATTCAGTGGCTTGAGAGGTAAAACCCTATAGGTATGGGAGATAGTTTAGAGACACAGAGCTGGGAACTGGTATAAACTGTAGTCAATCCCCAAATTCTTTAAATTGTTGTGTGTGTGGTGGGAGGGCTGGAACCCAGGGCTCTGCAAATTAGGCAGATGCTCTTACCACTGAGCTACCCTGTCAGACCCTAGATTGGTTTCCTGAATTCCATTTTTACGCAAAACAGTGCTGTGCAGTACCAGCATCCTGCCTACAACATTCTTCTCCACTCATACAGTCTGGCCATACCAGAACCTGAAACCAGTCACATTTTTTAACACATTTTTTAGTAAATTGTGTTTCAATCTTTCTATGTGGAATACAGCTCACCACTAAATGTGTCTGGACAAATTCTATCCAATGGAAATTTACACCTAACAGTCCTTAGAACACAGTATTCAACACACTGTTTTCTTCATCATTATCTTCAAGTGGCAATATAAAATCGACATAAAGGGATAAGCAGAGCTAACGGTAGTTTTAGGGAAGAAGTGGTACTCAGAATAACAGCAAGCTGAAGGACAGTCCTTGACCTTGAGGAGTCCTTGTTAAAACGTCAGCTGTCTTCCAGCTAGTTTTTTCTGTTTGCTGGCCTGCACATAGGTCTACTTTTCTCAGTTCTCCTGTCCACAAAGCAAGGACCTTCAAAATTTTTTCAAAGTTTTCAAAGTTGTTATTAATAAAAAGGAAAAGAGCTGGTATATCTCTTACCACTTCATCCCAGCAGAAAACACATTTACACTGAAATGCTAATGATGTCTTAAAGCTCAAAAAGAGCTGCATAAAGATAAACCTTTCTTCTCCCAGACTGGGAGGGGAGAGAGGGTTTTAGTTTCATCTGAAATAAGAGGTTTATTTATGACAGTACTGACCTGACTGCATTCCAACTAAGAACTGACATCAAATTTAAAATTTGGTCCTTAGGCTATATTTTAAAAATAAGTACCATTTAATTGATCAGAACATCTCATTGCCTGATTTCCCAAATCATGTTCCACTGAGTGATTCCATAGCCTAGTGCTCTTAAGACATCCAGACTATATATTAGCATACTACAGACTGAGAAATTCTGTGATGTAAGCCGATTTTCTATTTAAACCTTCATTTCTCGTCATGTGAATGGGATAACTATTAAACTGTGTTCATGAATTACTGTTTGGGAAACACTACTATATATAACTACTATAGGGCTTTTACAACGTTGTCAGTCCTTTCTCATCCTAGTGCTCTCTAGCCTTCAGATGCATCACTGCTATGGTGTAACCCTCTCCTCCACAAGGCCCCCTCTAGGTGAACACTCTTACCTTCCCTGCAGTCCCTGAGGGGCAATGTTCCAGGCAAGGTCATCATCGCTGTCATATCGTCGAGGGTTGTCAAAGAAGTAAGATCTGGGACTGAATCCGTGGCTGGGGACTATTCCAGGATTGGTCTAGAAAGACAGATGATCACTGGGCATACTAAAGTTGTTCTCCCCACCTGCAGAGTCTGCTCCTTTCACCTGGAGTGTTCACTGCAGCTGCTTTTGTTTAACAGGGATTAGCATTTTACCCAGTATTGCTTGCAATAACAAATCATCAGTTTTAATTCACTAACAGATGCCCAAATTAGCCAAAATAGAATAAATAGTGCAGTTTGGAAATATATACTCATGTAAACATTCCTAATAAAAAATGTTTAAGGTGAAATCACTTGGGAAGCATTGCCTGTCCCATTTTCATATCCTGTCACTGTGTCTGCTCCCACCAAAACTGAATCCATCTTGAAAAAATTCCAAGGCATACTGCTGGATTTCATCCCGAGCCATTCAAGAGCCGTAGGCCTGGTATGCTCCACCTGCCTAGCCTCACCACTTACTTTTCCTGCCTCAGTAGTGATGATCCAGAGATGAGTAAGAAAAAAAAAAGATAAAACAATGCCTATGTTAACTGGGCATGAACTAAGAACTGCAATTTGTTGGGCAGCTTCCTTTTATAACTTTCCTCACTGCCCCCCTAGGCCAAAATTCAGTAACTCCTTTGCGAGCTCACAAGTCCATCAAAATTCTTCCGCCAGCTTGTGTGACTGGAATTTAAGGCTCCCATGAGTTTTTTAATTCTTGCTACTTATGCATTTTCTACACTGCCCGTATAAATTATTTAGATGAAGTTGGTTGAGCAGAAACATAAACTGAGGGAGTGATTTTACAGCATCCTTCCTGGTTGATCTTTAATTTCCTTGTCATCCCATTCACCACCCAGCACACTACAGGGGTAAAGAACTAAATTATCACTCTCCTCTGCTCTTTACTAGAAGAAAACCTTACCTACTTGCTGCAATACTCAAAAACTAGTGAGGCTGTGTCTCATCAACCAAAATGGTTAATTACTTTCCCCAAGTCAAGAAATGCACCTTACTTTCTTTTGCAAAATAAAGCTAAACCAAAAAACACTGCCCTAAAAAAGAAAATTAAGGCAAAGAAAGTCTGAATAAAATAGTCAAGGGATTTTCTGTACCACAGAGGCCTGAAAGAGGCTCTCTCCTATATTTAAAAAAAAAAAAAAAAAAAAAGCTAGAAAAGCATTCTGCAAGTTTCATGAGAGTTAAATGTTCTATGCAAATATAAAATGGTATACTTACGAGGTCCTTTGTGGGACTTCTAACTCGGAAGAAATAAACTACCAAGGTGGTGGGCAAGAGTTCCCACACAAAAAGCACTACTCCAAATACTACATAGCCAGCATCTCCCAGCTGATTCTTCAGATCTGCCTGTTAGGAAAAGGATAAAATAGTAGACTGAAGGCAGAGAAAATGTATGACTCAGTTCTGCCTCCCAGGAACAGAATCTTAAAACCGTATCATTCCTTTTCCCTAAAATGCATAAAGAAATCGTATTGTAATAATAATGGCCAACCTCGGCTGAGGATTTAGCTCAGTAGCATAAGCACCTGCCTTGCAAGTGTGTGGTCATGAGTTCGATCCCTAGTACCAATAAAAAAAGAAAAAGACAAAAAAAAAAGAAGAAGAATAATAATGGCCAACTTGGATGGTTAAACCACTCAGTATCAGACAATAATTCCCCATCTCTGATATTACTTCATTCCCCAGACACTTGCTTGTGTGCAAATGAACTCCTTCACTTAGATCTGAACTTAATTTTTCATCCACATATAAACAGACTGAGTTTCCTTGATTCTCCATAGCAACATGTGACCCTAGGATAAGCATGCCAGTAGTAAACTTTTCCTCATATAAACTGCATCCTGCTCTTCAACCCCTAAGCCTACTGCTGGTAAACTTGTCTAGAAAAAGTCCTCAGAGCCCTGGGCATTTGGCTTCCAGCCTAGGGAGATGACAAGGGGTCTGCTGACAGTTTTCTCCCTTCAGCAGAGAAGAGGGGAGCTGGGTGTGGGCATACATCTGAAAAACCAGCATTTCATTAAAGAAGTATGCAGCAAAACCAAGCCACAGAGGGTCAGTCCCCGACACTGATTTCTGCCTTCTGTTAGGACACAGTGAAAGTGCAGGAGCCAGCGCCTCTGATCACTCACACTCCCAGCCCACATTTCACCTGTGCTTCTGCCTGTGTGCACCTGTGGTGTTTTGGCCCGCTGGCTCCTCAGTTATTTGGGTTGTAACAAATCTAGATACATATATCAAATAAAAACAAAAGAATTTTAAAAACTCATCCTATTCTAAATCCATGGCTACTATATCTTGTTTAAAAAATGGAGTTTGAGGGGCTGGGGATTTAGCTCAGCGGCATAAGCACCTGCCTTGCAGGCAGGCAGTCGTGAGTTCAATCCCCGGTACCGATAAAAAGGAAAAAGACAGAAAAAAAAAAAAATGGGAGTTCGATCCCTGGTACCAGAAAAAAGGAAAAAGAAACAAAAATGGAAATAGTTATTTTGTTTAAACCAAATCATTTAATGGAACATAGAAAGCTCCGGGGTGGATGATGATGAAGGGTGAACACAGTAACACCACTGAATCTCGCACATAATTATGATTAACATAGTGAATCTTATGTGTAGCCTACGACAATTTAAAAACCCTGTGTGCTATGGAGTGGTCTCTGGTTTGTCACTATAAGTTCGGATTTTAGTAGATGTGTGTTTTCTACCAGCCACACTTCGGCCAGGCCTCACCAGCTGTCCCCAGCCCGTGCTAATGGTGTTGGGGACTGGGGCTGCTGCCGTATTTCATTCTTCCCCTACCTGTGCCTCTTGGGAAGTCACCTTGTCCTCCATTTCAGCTCACTGTGATCGTTTTGTTCCTTCTCCTATTCCTTAATTCAGCTCAAGTTTTGAGCACTATTGAAATTTCAGAAGTAGATTTAAATATAGTTAGTAATTCAGTTTTTCCAGGGAAAGCTGAAGTTGCCTGTGCAAATCAATGTAACTACTAGAAAAAAGGTACACTTCTCTACTGGAATAGCCCAGCTGCCACTGCCTCAGAGTGGGATGAGCTCCCATAGGAAGGGACAAAGGGAATCTATCCATTTTTATATCCCCAGCATTTAAAAATTGATAAAAAAAAATGATACTTATCAATGGTTTTTTTTTTTTTTTTGAGCTTATGGGGAAACTTTGTTCACTTGCTCTACAGTTGGTAATTTATGGATTATAGGATGCATTTAGAGTAGAGAGGAAGAATCCTATTTAGACCACTAATGCAGCGAGGCTTTACTAAACCTTAACATCCTCAGTCACTCTGGTCTAGCTTCTCTCCAGTGCTGTACTGCATTAAAAGTATCTTTATTTCATAGTTTTAGATATTTTCTCACACGGGAATACAACTTATCTTTGCAAAATTTACCCTTTAATAACACCATCTTACATTTATAAGGAAGCACTGATTTGAAACAAAAAAGTTTAAATACTGTTTGATAAGATCCCCACAAGGTGGGAAAAAAGCGAAGAGAGTGCAGTATGTGCAGGTTTATGTCTGCACACATCATCTCCAATCCAGGATTCTCAGGAAATGTAAACAAAAACAAGGCAAGCGCCTTGGTCCCACCTGACACATGAGAGTACACAAGACACACTGGAAGTGTGCTCAAGTCACCCAGCTGTTCAGCAGAAGAAACAAAGCCAACAGCTCTGCCACATACAGTGCCACACAGCAAATGGTGCCCGCCCATCCCAGTCATGCCTTGTGGCGCCTACACTGACCTGGTCTGATACATTGTACCAGTCATAATCAAAGGAGTGGACATTCTTGATCTGAGAAAAGGACAAGATGAACAGGTTGTAGCAGGCCCGGGAGGTGTACAGCAGGATGACAGTGACACCAATGGCAGTCACTTGGCACACAGAGGAACCCTGTAAAAGAACCAGCAGGTTAGGCCATAACAAGCCCAGGGTCCTGGCCCCTTGCCTGTTCCTCACCTAGTGGTATACCCTTAGGGGGCTTCAGAGGTGCTAAGCACATCAGATCTCAGGCAGAACCCTCCACTCTAGGCCTAAAACCCCTTCGTGCCTCCATACATCTTGAAATTTAAGGTGTTTAATGGCTGGGACAGTTCAGTCTTGGCAAACCCTTTGCCTCAAACATAAAAAGTCACAGGGCTTATACTGTTAAATCTCCCGCTGCCATGCTCAGCTCCAAGATCCTCCCAGCCAAGAGGCACAGCAGGTGAGCCCAGGCTCAGGGGACACAGAAACAGTCTCAGAGGAACTGAAACTGCACTGCACTGTAGTGTGCTAGAATGACTCTTTCTCAAAACCCAGTCACTGAGGATAACCAGCCAGAGTCCTGAGGTGATTCTGAGTGGAATTACATGAAAATCTGTGACCCATGCTCCACTCTATGAAGCTATCAACTTGTCAAGCCAATTAAAGAACCCCTATCTGCAAACATAGTTCACATGACCAAAGAGACTGAAACTGAATTTTACATTTGGAAGTCATTAAATCCAAAATATCATTTTATTTCATCAGTAGTTCTTTGTTGGTTCATAAACCACAAAGGTGAGTGAAATGGCATTTTAATAGTGTGCAAGTTAACCCTTTCTATTGAAGACTACAGTTTTTAAAAATGTCTGTATTAGCCCCTATATGAGAGAGAAAATAACAGAACATTAAAGCAAAATCAAGTCTAAAATACAACAGAGTTTATAAGTGAAAGAACTTCTGTGTCACACTAACTTGCAGGATTTGCAAGAATCTGGCTAACTACCAAGATGGCCCGAGAGTCAAAGTTAGAGGTACAGATTTTATCTGCTGATCACTTCTGAAGACACAACTCTGTGGGAGACAAAGCTACCACTCACACCCAAAAAACATTACAATCAAATGAGCCCTAAGGGAAGCAGGTGCATGGCAGGTCTTCCACAGGCAGATCACTCAACTATTCAGTGAGGGAAGCCAGGTCCACAGAGGGAGGGTTCCCAGCCAGCTCTGGGCCCACTGCTCACTAGACTTCCAGACTCAATGAGGGAATTTGGAGGATCTGGCTGATGAGATGCACTTTGGTACCACAGCATATCTGCACATTTGCCCTTTAAAATCTTGGCTACAAAAAAGCAGGACGTGGGAGCTGAGGATGCAGAACATGGAGGAAGAGAACAGGCCAGGAGCTTCCCTCCTACCCATGTGTGGTTCAATCTCTGAACCACCTACAGGCAGGACAGTCTCCTGAACCCCACTTCCAACCATGAAGGAGAAGCTGCTTGAGGGCACAGCTCACAAGTGTGAGCCTGAATCTGAGACTCCAGAGCAGCAGAAGGTGGCAAACACTACAGATCCAGCCAAGTGTGCCTCTCGGTTTTGTACCTGCTAGCTGCATGGCCTAGGGTGAGGTATTTGAGTTCTCTGTGACTCAGTTTCCCTATCCATAGAATTGGGATTGTAATACTTCCTAACTCAGTAGATCTGTAAGAATGGTATCAGGTATATACACATAAAGTGCTTGTCAATTTGCCAGGGACATGACACTAGATAATGTGTTTGCAACTAGTGTTGTGGGTATAGTCAACCCCCCTAATCCTTTAAAATATGGATTAAATAACTATTATAAGCCAGAGACTGAACTTCCTGCCAATGATCTTGCACACACTAACACATTTTAGCCACCCAGAAGAGAACAATTCCTACACACAAAGCTCAGTGGACTATATCCTCCTATGTCCTAATGACCACAGTGTGGCAATCATTTGCTAAAAGACAGGTGCAAAAAAAGATTTTTTTGCGTCTCTTCTGTCTACAAACCAGACACCTATTTTTAAAACAAGTTTTATGGGTGAGATCTGAGCACATTCCCACCCTACCTTAGATTCTAAGTAAATGCTGGCTAAGGACATCTTTGAGATTTTGTAGAGACAGATGGAGAGAGAGACGGCACACAGCACGAAGAGTGTGTCATTAATGGCCACTCGCACGGAGACGATGACCTTCCTATCCCAGTTTCCTGTCTTCACCAGCACAGCGCAGGTCACGTTCACCACCAAGAAGATGAGACTGGTGAAGAGAGAGACCAGATAAGGGGGCAACCTGGAAAGGAAGAGGGAGAGATTTAAGTCTGAATTCTTACACACACTGTCTGTACATTCTGGGTCAGCAGGCTGTGAAGTGCAGTGGTTAATCACTTCCAAAGTAGACAAATCAGAGTAACACACTTAAGAGCTTGGACTTTAACCGAAGAGATTCCAGATTCAAGTTACTAAATGACCACAAGCTGTGCCCAAGGGTCCTTCATGAAGAACTTCATGTCTCCAGGTGGCCTGAGTGTGAGCTCATAAGTGCTGGCTGGCCTGCATGAGATCCCAACATGCTCTCTACTTGCAGGGAGAAGCTCACAGAGAGCCAACTGCTCAAGCTGTGCTGCTGAGCTATATTCCCAGCCCTCTAATACAGTTTTTGAATGATATTTTACCCCAAAAAGTCATAAAGTGGAGTCCAGACGCACTCAACACTGCATGAATTTCTCACACTGACTACAAACTGGCCACAGGAGCTCCATGACCAGTCAGTCTAAGGTCTTCTCAGATTAGATGCAACTGAAGTCCCTCTTCCTGGGTGTCCACAGTTTATCTCAGGTGACCATCATGTGGTAGCATGCAGATAGGGGACTGCATTGTTTGCTCAAAGACAGGCCGGTTCAAGTTGGGTATATTTGTAATTCAATTCAGAGAGCAGAAAACCAGGAATAAGAGTGGCGTGTGTCGAACTAAATGTGATGAGTGTCTTCAAAAGCTACCCTCGAGCCAAGCATAATGGTGCACACCTTAATCCCAGCACTGGGGAGACCAAGGCGAGAGGCTGAGACCAGAGGATAGCTTCAAGTTTGAAGCCAGCCTGATCTGCATAGTGTGCCCTGTCTCAATCAATCCATCAATAAACACATTCATATACACAGACACATACACACACACACACACACACACACACACACAGGAATATGAAAGTTACCTCAGACCACAGCACAGAAACCCAGATTCCTATTCTGGCTCCAAACATCCACCAATGATGGGGGACAAGGGGGAAACGAGAGGGGCTATAAAACAAAGAGCAGAGAAGGAGAAAGAAGAAGATGAGTGGAGACAGGGAATAAACAGATGAAAGAGAAAGGAGAGACCCTGGCCCCAGCCTTGAGCTTTATTCCTGCCCTCAGATACCCCTGTGATATGCTAACCCCCACTTTCTCACACTGGGTTAGAAAGATTTCATGCCATCCAACGTCCAACACTGCACCACTGGCCAAGTGTGGTGGCGCATGCCTGTAATCCCAACACTTGGGAGGGTGAGGCAGGAGGATCATGCAAGTTCAAGAGCAGCCTGGGTTACAAAGTGAGCTCAAGGCCTGAACTGCATAGCAAGACCCATTCTTGAAAAGACAGACGGGGGCTGGGGATTTAGCTCAGTGGCATAAGCGCCTGCCTTGCAAACAGGCAGTCGTGAGTTCGATCCCTGGTACCGATAAAAAGGAAAAAGACCAAAAAAAAAAAAAAAAAAGAAAAGAAAAGACAAACAAACAAATACTGCACAATCACTAGCAGAGTCTCTTGCATGCTTCTCAGAACCTGTGCTCCCCCAACTCCCACATACCCCGCGGCGCTCAGTATCAGCCTGCCTACTCACCTCCCCCTTAGCCACAGGAAGACACGACACACACAGAAGCATGTGTCTGACACTGACTTCACAGACTTACCAGAGCTTATAACAAAAACCGTGGCCAAAAACCTGCCCAATGCCACCGCTACTTAGATGTTATCTTCCCCGAGACCAGGCTTAGGCTGTTTTCTAACCCTGCGTCTACGTGCAGGTGGCAGGGGCTCCTTGCTGTGTCGAGAGGGAGGGAGGGAAGAAGCAAGAGCTTAGGCCAAAATCCACTACCTTACACACCCCAACACAGGCTCCCCTTCTGTCTCCTGGAAACGCTCTATCACACTGCCGCTCTCTGCCCCTTGCTGAGGACAATCTGGCATGGAGGAATTACCCCGGAGGGGAGGAGGAGTTCACACACCACCAGTGTTGGGGGCCACTCACTCCTCAGACCTGTCCTCCACACAGCTTGGGTGGCAAGAAAGTGCAACAGCAGACCAAATGTGCCTTGCACAGAGGGACTAGGTGGGTGGGCCAGAGACGAGAGCCAGAGAGACCTGCAGGACGAGCACAGGGCAGGGTACACAGCGAGGGAGCAGCGGGGAGGGGGGCAGAAGCGGGCTGGCAGGAGACACAGGAACATAATGCTGAACAACCGAGTGGTGGCCACTCTCTCCGAGTCTGAGTGGGTCAATCTGTGGCGCAGTGCAGGGCACAGGCAGGACAGTCCACAGGTGCAGAGCCTTCCTGGGAGCCCTCGTAACAGGGAGCAAGTAACCTCAGGAAAAGAGGCATGGCAGAGAGCGTGGGGTGGTCCTAACCACTACCACCACCCCCAGGAGGTCTACGATGCCAACAGTGCCCCCTGGAAGGGTGCCTGGGACAGAGAAGTCCTGGGGACTCCACTGTGGGTCACAATACTCTTAAGAACTTTTTTGAGCAGAAAGAGATGCTTGGGAAAAGGAAACATTAATGATTTGCCAAGGACAGTTATTCTCCAGGTCATAACCACTGAACCAGACCCTCCAGTGCCACCTCAGTTCTGTGTCACGCCTTGTTGTCCTCTCTGCACTCTGGCATCATCCCAAGTCTGTGGCACTAGAAAGGTACCCCCAACCCTATCCTACTCCCCAGCCTCGACACCTGCCAGCACGTGCTGTGTACATCTGCCCTATCTGTTCCTTTCCATGCCACCCTCTGCTTCCCACAACCAGCATCACCATGCCCCAGGAGATACCATGCATTTAATTTGAGGTCTCTTCCCTTCCTCAGTCTGCAGCTGTGTGGGTCAAATGCGGGAACAGAAATGTGCACCCAGCATTGGGCAGTCACCTGGCCAGGCCAAGTCCCAACCCTCCACTCTCCAGCCAAAGTGGGTGCTCGTGCCTGGCTCAGAGGAAGCTGGATGGATTATCATCTGTCCTCACAGGCAGAGAGAAACCAGGGCACGTCGGGTAGGACAACAGCAGTGCCCTGAAGGAATCACCAAAGATCTGTGCCTTGGCTCCTGGAAAGTCCAGTTTTAGTGTTCTACTGTGAAGCACACTCACTGCAGAACTCTGAGAACACCCTACCCTGCTGTTTCCAGATCTCCTTCCTCTAGGCATATATCCTGCCAGGGACAGCCATGGCCACTCAGGCAGCACAGGGCCAGTCATCTTTCCAGGCGACCCCTAAAGGTGGTGTTTAAATTCCATGAAACTGTGGGTATAAACTTGTTCTTCCCCTTTGGGAAAGTATCAGAAGGATAGAGGGTGAAGAAACTGGTCACAGCGTCCCACCAAGCACCAAGTATCCCTCCCCGCCACCAGCAGAGGCTCCCCGTACTGTCACCAACCCAGGTTTCCAGATCAGTCCCATCAGCCTTCACCCCAACCCACCCCTGCCTGGTGGAGCACTGAGGGGAGAAGGCAGGCATGGGGGGCAGGAGGAACATGCCACCAGTCTCAGCTGTGACACTGGGCAAGTCTGGGCCACTCTAGACCTCGGTCTCCTCTCTGCCAGGAAGATGACAGTTCATCCCTCCTTTGGCCACTGTGAGGACCAACAGGATCCTAAGCCTCCCTTTCCTATTTTCTCTGTGCCCTCCGCCTGCACCCTGCCCAGTGTCTCTTTTCCTCCTCCTACGGGACTCAGCAGCCCTCGTGACAGTTTCTGCCACCTGCTCACTGGACTGAAGGCCTCACTTAGCAGGTGCGCTGCCCAGCCTCGGGGCGCTGGGCCTTGGGGTCCTAACCTCCTGGTTCTCCTGCCTTGGCCTATCCCTGGAGGACCCTGGTTCCACCTCTTCTACCACAGGAAGGTATTGTGGATTCTCCTCTGCCCTTTGCTTGGGAGGTGTGTTCACACCTACAGCTCCTGCTACAACTTGGCAGAGGACTAAATTCAAGTATCCCTCACCTCGGGATAAAGATGCACATTTCTGGTGGCCTGCAGCTTGGAATCCCTGTCCCCCACACCAGCATCCCAAACTCAATTCCTGAGTGTTACTAATTCTATTAGGGGTACCAGGATTTTCCCTACACTGTTTCCATCCCCACCCCACAGAGAATCCTCAGTCAAGGCCTCTCGCCTCCACTCTGAACTCCACCCTGCACTCTTCAGTCACTGCCCAACAAGTCATTCCATTGACACTAAGCACAAACAAGCTAGGCCCCTAGGTTCCAACAGCCCTGGGTCCCTACTCTAGTCTTTGTGCCTGCAACCTTCTTCCCCTCCTGATTTCCATCAAATCCTGTTCTCGAAGCTCACTCATCAAAAGTCTGTTATCCTTATCATAAGGGCTGCGTTGGAAGATTTAAAATAATTTGGAAAACATGATCTATCAGAAGTTAAAAAGTCAGGATGCTAAGCTGTACAAGCAAGGTAAACATTAGTTTTTGTTGGCAAACATATGTAATGCAATGCATCATTGTATTTCCTGAGCTGGGGGATGGGAAATAGCTCAGGAACTGAATGGTTTTAAACGTCCTTTCTTTCTAGTGCCTTCCTTTTCCACCTGAACAGGTGGAACAGAAGATACCTGATCACCATAAACCAGTCCCCTGACCAATCAGAATGTGCAGCCGGTCCTCATTCACTCCCCTCCAGACTCCTTGCTGATCTGCATTTCTGGTTGAGACCAGACAGCAAATATCATAGATGCAGAGTAAAGGCACGCTGGTTTGTTTACTGGAAAAGGTGGTACACCTGAAATCCCATCACAGGAGGATCACAAGACCATGTCTCAAAATAGAAATGAAACAAAGGCCTAAGGATGTAGCTCAGTGTAAAGGTCTTACATTCAATCCTCAGTATTGAAAACAAAACACACGTCCATGTATACACACACGCATACACAAATGCACAGTGTACACAACTTATTACAGGCTGAGCATCCCTTGTCCACAATCTTGGAACCAGAAGTATTTATTTCAGGTTCAGGATATTTTTAATATTTGCATAGTGTACATATAGAGGTATCTTCAGGCTGGAATCCAAATCTAAACAAACCATACTTTTATGGTTCACATATGCCTCATACACCTAGCTGGAAGATGATGTTAGACAACATTTTTAGTGCACCTGCGTTCTGAGTGTGACCTGTCACTTGAGATCAAGTGTGGAATCTCCTACTCTGGTGTCATGTGGCTTGAGGAATTTCCATTTGGAGGGCACTCTGGATTTGAAGTTTTCATGTCCGGGATGCTCAGTCTCCTTAGGACCAACATCCTTTCTTATGGACTCTGCAGTCCAGCTGAACGTTCTGATAGAAATGTAAGCAGAATGACCCAAAAAGAGGTGAAGGGAAACAGCACAATCAAGAGACAACCAAATCCCAGGACAGTCAGTCTCAGGACTTATATTCTAGTTGGGCCCTGGGTGTCATTTTCCAAACTTCAGAGAAACTTTCTAAACTTGTCCCCCAGGATGTAAAGCACAGTGAAAGTATTACACTTTCAGAATTTTAAATCAAGTTAGACCATACACATGGTGGACTTACAATATCTACAGAGAACTGATTTGAGGACTCCCAGATACCAAGACCCAGATGGCACATCCCTTACATCAAATGGCACAGTATTTGCACAGAACCCTTACATACCATCTGAAGAGCTCAGGTCATCTCTGCATTACTTGCAATATTTACTACAATGTAAGCACTACGTAAGTAGCTGCTATACAGTATGTAGGGAATAACAACAAAGTCTGTACATGCTTAGTACAGATATGATTTTTTTCTGAATATTTTTGACCCATAGTTGTTTGAATCCATGGATGTAGAACCCATGGATATAGAACATAGATTATATTTAAAGAAACTATAAAATGTATAATTTGAACATTTAAGTAACAAATTAATTTTTCATCCTGACCCATGCAGGTGGCCCGCCACAGTCACACTCTGAGAACTGTATACCCCGGGTGGGCAGTGCTGCAGGGTGAGGCCACTCATCCACCACAGGCCTTTTCTTCCTTAGGCCCACCCCTACCACACTGTGGGTCCCCTCTTCCCATGATGGAGCACATGGGGACTGAATCCAGGGTTTCTGCACCCACTTTGTCTTTTAAGTAGGGTCTTGCTAAGTTGCCCAACCTGGGCTTGAAGTTAGGATCCTTCTGCCTCACTTCGAATGCTGGGATCAAGGTGCACACCACCTGCCCATCTCAAGTCTACCTATTCTTCAAACCACTGGTTCTAGGCTTGGGAGAGTCACAGGCCTCTGAAAATCTGGGGAAAGCCACAGATCATCTCTCCAGGAAAAGGACGTGGTGCTACCTCTTCTTATAAATTGGGCTCATAATTTAAGAGATTCCCTTCCAAACCTAAGGCTATCGGCAGGCACCCCAGCATGAGCCACTCTTCCACAAAATTCCTCTCACTCAGATGGCCCACAGCAGCGGCATTATTAGGAAGTGATTAAAAACGGGGAGCAGACTGGGTGAAGTAAGTGGACCACGGGAGTGTGGCCCTGAGAACTACGTCTGCTCCCGGCCCCTTCTTCCCTGGCCTTTTCCTCTCGGGGGATGCAGCTTTCTTCTGCCACGCCCTTCTTGCCTTGGAGCCAGCTGACCATGGACCGGAACCTCTGGAAGCGTGAGCCAGAATTAATCTTTTGTCCTCTTAACTAATTGTCTCAGGTACAGTATTTGGTCACAGTGTCAAAAAGCGGACTAACACACCCAGTTAAGTCATAATCCATGAGCTGGCTCTCCTGGGGATGATGCCACAGGCACACAGCTGGCAAGCAGAGCCATTCAGGGCTCCCAGAGGACAGGTAGAGGGATGGCTTCACGTGAACACTCCCAGCTCCCTCATGGGGTGAAATGCTCAGGTACTCACCGGTATTTGAGCAATTCTGGAGAATACTTGGACTTGGCTTTGAAAATCACCTGTAATTACAAAAAACCCCACAAGTTAGTATATAGCATGTTGGCACCCAAATCCTCCCCCTTCATGGTCCAAACCCTCTCCTACACACCCAAATACTCAGGCATATTTCTTGAAACAGAGATGCCTTCATTATGTAAGCACATTTATTATGCAAACTTTTTAAATCTGTGTGTACCATTTTAAATTCAAAAATAAAGGTATTTAGGAATGGCTAAAATGGTTTTTAAAAAAAACAAAAGTAAAGCTGTTACTGATCTACTTGTACCAAGCTCTTCTCTTATTTTAAGATTCTTAATGTGAAATCAACAGGCCAACATTTCCATTAAGAATTTGCACTGGCACCAAATTACTGCAACTTGAATACAGACACCCCACAAGCCAGGTCTCAAACTACAGTAACATGACGGCTTTGGAGCATAGAAGTATCACCAGGCTGTCTTCTCTGGGGGAAATATTACAGACCAAAATTTCCCAAGAACTTCAAGTACACTACTGTGACTGTGCCCACACACAGTGGGTGTGGCAGTGGTCAGGCAGCACCTTTGAGAAGGTGCAGAGGACAAAGAAAAACGTCCCATTCAAGGCCAGCCCCACTCCTCCACCATGTGAGGCTCACCAGGACCTCGGCAGAGCAGGTGGCACAGGAGCACGTGGGCCCCTATGCTGATGGTCTCCGGGTCCCTGGCATTTCAAGGGAGGCAAGGGCACTGGCAGAAGGAGTGTGAAAGAGGGAAAGAGCGATGATCCAGTGAGGTCAGGGGCCCTCTGGCCAGCACCTCTCCATCCCTCCCCTCCCACCCCTCTACAGGGTTTTTGTGACTTTCTCAATGCCACAAGTAAAGGAGATCTTGCAGCACCTGTCTGCTTGTTCCGAGCTGATTCACTCAGCATCGTCCAGGTGGCACCGAGTAAGTCTTGGAGACCTCACGTGCTATCCACACAGTGTCCTACACAACACTTGCAATTTGCTAAAAGAGTAGATCTTAAAAAAGACTTCTCATCACAAGAAAGGGAATAATAGCAGGGCATGGTGGCACACGCCTGTAATCCCGGCACTAAGGAAGCTGCAAGTTTGAGGCCAGTCTGGACTACAAAGTGAGTTCGTGGCCAACCAGAACTATATAGCAAGACCCTGTCTGGAAAAAAAAAAAAAAAAAAAGGGAATAATTATGTAAGGGATGGGTGTGCTAACTGCTGATCATGGGAATCACTATGATACATAAACCAAAACGTCACGGTGTACACCTTGAATGAACACGATTTTTGTCAATTATATCTCAATACAGCTTCTTAAAAAAAAAGAAAAAGGACAACTCACATTCCATACTTGTTCTCCATGGACTTTCCTTGTGCCAGCCCTAAACCTGTCTCCCTGCACTGCCCATGCCCCCAGCACACATGTCCCTTCCCCCAAATCCCCAGTCACAAGGCTCCCCTTCTCAGCTTTCTGCTGGAGGCTCTCAGGGTTTGTTCAGTCCCTGCAAATATTTGCCTAAGAGACCGAGCAAGGGCTAAGTTGACAGGATTCAGTGGCAAGCAGGAGGCAGGAACTCCTGCCATGAGGGGAGGGGCAGGCAGCTCAGGGTCTACAGAGACACAAGGAGGTGGAGAGGTGACAGTGAGCGGGGTTACAGGGCTGCCACCTTGTCTGCGGAAGAAGTAGCAGTCAGTTTGTGGAGGGACATCTGAAAGGAACCGTGCAAATCCTTCAGGAACTGTGATGGCTGCTGATGCCCAGGACACACTGGGCCCCTCTCCTGAATCCACTGACACAGAAGCCACTGCCTGGGGAACCTTCTAGAAGATGTTCTGATGACCTAAGTAGTTCTCAGGCTTTCACGAGCAGAGGAATTTCCCCAGGAGCTTGTGAAAAATGCACATCCCAGAACTCCCCTTACAAGGATCCTAGTCCAGGGGATTTAGGCAGGGCCCGGGAATCTACATTCCATGGCTCTCTAGGGTGACTCTCCCCAGCCAGCCCAGGGGTCCCTGGTGGGAAATTCTGACCTACACAGATTGGAGCTGCCTGGCCCAATACTCCAGCCATCATCACAGCATCAGCAATCACAGTCATCAGCAGTCCAGAGTCAAGAGTAACTGGGGGAGGAGGGGGGACGGGGGATTTAGCTCAGCGGCATAAGCGCCTGCCTTGCAAGCAGGCAGTCGTGAGTTCAATCCCTGGTACCGATCAAAAATGAAAAAGACCAAAAAAAAAGAGTAACTGAGGGGCAAGAAAGCAGGCGGACAGGGAACAGAGGGAGCCCCAGAGGATATCCACACCCAGGCCCACCTTGCACTTCTACACCCGGCCAGACAGAGGACTCCAAGCCAAATCACCAGGGAGCAGCACACGTATTCCCTGGGGTTGAAGGGCAAGCACCTCCTCCTTGTCAGCCTTCTCAGGGTTTGTAGGTGGGCCTTCAGCTAAGTAGAAGTACACTGGTACACATTTGTAACCCTAGCTCCTTGCTTGGCTGAGGCAGGAGGATCACAAGTTGGTGTCTAGTCTGGATAACTCAGTGAAACTCTGCCTCAAAATAAAATATAAAGGGCTGGCAATGTAGCTCAATGACAGTACTGGCCCAGCATGTGTGAGGCCCTGAGTTCATTCCTTAGCACCACAGAGGAAAAAAGCAGAATGATTTTCTGACAAGACTTTGTCTTTGCCTAAACCTTCTTAGAAATAAGACAGAAGGCAGAAATTCACACCATAAAACATTAAAATCTTATGACCACTGATAACATGAAAAGGCACAGTAGCAGGCCCCCTGCCTTACAGAAGCCCACATGGGCTTTCAGGCTGGGCATGTCACCTTTGGTATTTCCCTGCTACCCTTAAGGAAAAATGTTACCCACAATCTCTCTTAGGGACAAGGAGTAAGTTAGTACCTGACCGTTAAGTTTTGCCACAAAGTACAATCCTCCTGTTAAAACAGACTTGAGGATATTGCTTTCAGTAATTGCAAGAACTCTTCAAAACAGCAGAGGAGGAGAAAGTACACTATTTTTAAAAAAGGTATCTGACCTTTGCAAGTCATGGTGGCATCAGCTACTCAGGGAGGTGAAGCGGGAGTGCAGAAAGTTCAAGGCCAGCCTGGGCAACTTGTCTTAAAGAATGTTAAGGGCTGAGGTTGGTAGATCAGTGGTAAAGGGCTTGCCAGTATGCATGAGGCCCTGAGTTCCATCCCCAGCACCAAAAAATGAAAGTGTCTGACGCTGTCAAGGAAACATGTATGTTTTATTTTCTGACTGGGTCATAGTGGTGATTGCTTTAGGTAGGTAACTTATTCTAACCAGTCTGCCCACTCTTACCAAACAGTGTACAGCTCTCAGCATCACCCAAGGTGACTATGGGGACCAAGGAGCCCCCTGCTGTGCATTCAACTCTGAACAAAGTCAGCAATGACAAAGAAATCGTGACCATTTGCCTATAAATGCCTCAAGTGTATCTTTATGACAGAGTATTAAATCACAGCATATAAATACTAATCTTTATTCAATCATCTGTTGAGGGACATGCTATTTGCTGTTTCCAAGATCTACCAATTATAAATCACGCTGCTATACACATGGGTGTATCACCGTAATATGATGCCTTTAACTCTTTCAGGAAGTTATCTAAAAGGGGAATAGGTGGGTCAAATGACATTTCTAGTTTTAGTGCTGAAGACTCTCCATACTGATCTCCATAGTGGTTTTCCTAGTTTGCACTGCCACCAACAGTGCAGAATGATTCTTCTTTCCCCAGGAACCCAGCGTTTGTTATTATTTCTTGATGATGGCTATTCTTTCTGGAGTAAGATGGTATCCTAATGTAGTTTTAATGTTAGCTATTTGGTAAAAATCACCTAAAAATGAGAGGAGAGAGGAGATGAGAAGGGGACCAGCCTGCCTTCCACGCACCCACAGACCCATCAGAGAGGCAGGAGTCCCACAAGCATTAGCAAAGGGGAAGGTTCTGCTCTCAGCTGGTCAGAGTGCAGAGGGCTGATCTGGCCAGCTTGGCCCCACCTCAGGTGGGAACATCGGCTCTGCTCTGCGTCATGGCACCTGCTGCTGGCACAGCTCTTGGTTCCATGAAGACAAAGGAATGCAAATGATTGGCGTCGGTGCACAGCCCCTGCGGGGTCCAGCTCACTCCCAAACTTGCCAATGCTGTGCCTCTTTCACTGAGAGCTGGGGAATGACATCCCGGGTGAGAGCAGCAAGAACAGGCCAAGGGCTCTGGTGACAGAGTAGCCCACCCCCACCCACACCATGCCCTTCCAGGTTCCTGCAGTGGCTGGCCCCACTGCTGGGTCCCACATGAGCTGGGGGTGGGCTGAATGCAGTCAGGACTAGGGAGAGCAGCCTCTAAGATGTTCCACAGAACTGGAAATTCACAATACACATAATTGGAAACAATGCCATGTGATCAAACAACTTTAGAAATTGCTGGGAAAACACTTTTTCCTGTAAGAATTCTTAGGCTCATATGCCTTTTTCTTTTGAGACTTGCAAAGTTGTCCAGACTGGCCTCAGACTTTTAATCCTCCTGCCTCAGTATCCCACATAGCTGGCTTAGAGGTTTTTAAAGTGAATTCTTAAACTTAAGTTCCTACAAGTGGGATCTTAATTGCAGGCATTTGAAAGTGAGTAACAACATGTATGAACCAATATTATACACACAGGCAACACAATTCATTATACACATAGATACAGGCGTATATGTGTGTGTGTGTGTATGTGTGTGTGTGTCTATATGCATGTGTCTGTAATTTCAATACAATTTATGCCCTTGTTAATTAAAGGGCATAAATGTCAGAACCAAGTATTCCAAAACAATAAATTCAAGCTCTCCTCTCCACTCCCATGGGTGTTCCAAGGGGCTTCATGAAAGACTGATTATTGTCCAGAGCTGGAGCTGTACCCGGGTCACCATCTGCCCCCTGGCCCTCCAGGACTTCTTATCTGGCCCCTCATCTCCGTCAGCCCCTCACTGGCTCCCACTGACCTTGGC